GGCTGGAAAAATTGCAAAAAGGTGTGAAAATTCGAAAGGTTGTAGGTTGGGATTTGGTGTCCGAGTGGAAGTCACGATAGCTCAAGTGGTAGAGCAGCAGCGTATTTAGCCGAAGTTCGTGGGTTCGAATCCCGCTCGTGACACTAACTTTTACATTTCAACCAACACCTTGCATACAAAGAACAATACTGTTCAATACTGAATCTTGATCATCAACGAAAAATCTTCTACTCGTATCCTTAACATTTACAAATATACCAAAACCAAAAATTCACGTAAAATATCGCTATCGATCTGATTTTTTAATTGACTTTTGCCCCACAAACAGTACAACATGTAATAAGGTACATATTATTTATACAATTTTTAAAATTTTCTAATTGCTCTCATCGCTGATAGTTTTTAACGCATAAGACGAGAAATTTATTTCTGATGAATTTGATGTTACTCTCAAGAAAGTATTTGTATTATATTTTTTTATTACGAAATGTCCACTAAGAAATTACGTGAAAAAGACTTAACCATTATTTACAAAATTAGTTAATAATTCGTTCAAAAACGGATAACTAATTTATGCAAATCGACTGTTGATAATTAAAATAATAGACATTTTCGTTATAGAAATGTTTTGCAACGGTTGACCAATTTGAAATTTTTTTCGTCAAATCAGTTGACACTTTCTCCAATTTATACTGGTCTGAGAATTAAGGAAATTACACTTTTGTGTCACGGCTTTCAATTTTGTGACCGTCGATCCGGTGTTGCGATAGCGTTGTCGTGTCGCCCGATATTCGACGGCAATCAATAATTTTTCAATTAACGTTTTTAGGACAGGAAACGCTTCAAAATTGGACGAACATAATTATAAAATTGGTGACTTCGGAGCCACTTAATTAAGCCAAATTAAGCATTCTGGTCCTAGCCGAGCCTGGCCTCTGTTCGCCCTCGTATTTTCGCAACCCGTTGTCCCACCGTTTAAAAGTGAACAAAGATAAATCCCCTTATCGTTAAGTGGTGTCATTAGAAATTCTGTTAATAAATAAAGTAAAGTGGAGAATAAAAAAATAACTGGGATCCGTAATTTGTGCCTTGGCAGAAATACTTTACGCTTTTTTAATTATTATATATCCCACTTCTAAATCGAATTTTAATTTGCAGTAAATTTCAATCATTTCTTTAAATTCATTTTTTTTAATATTTACGCGTTTCAGAACGAAATACTATCATAAACTATTGTGAGATTTCCCTTTGGGATCTGCGGGGCGAAGAAAAGTTTGATAGTTTCTGGTAATTTTAGTCTGACTGTCTGTCAGACGCGTCTCGGCCTCTCGTCCTCTTCATTACAGGGTGTGTGCAAACCGGCATAATAACACACGGCAAGGGTGTCATTCGTCGTTTTGATATCTCGGGAGTTTTTCTAATCATTGATGAGAAGCCGAACACGTCTGACAGATGAAATAGGGAGCATAGGCAAACCAAAATTTTGTCACAATTCAATTTTACTTTAAAGTGACAATTTTGCGATTTAGACTTCATGATTAGTACTGCAAATCCAATAATATCGATGTTTGACATCGGTAGTGATTAGAATGTAAATCATAGATGGAAAAAAACATCGGTACAAAAACATCGATGTATCGGTTTGGGCTTGACTTTGGAGTTTGTTTTGCTATCTTTATGTTATCATTTTTCTTATATTACTTCATAGTTGTATTTATTCATATATGTTTAATGGTCATAATTGACATATTTAATTATTTCAATTAATTATACTTATTATCGAAAGTCTGGGTCGAGATGAAAAAGTTAATTTCACGAGCGGGATTCGAACCCACGACCTTCGGTTATTGCTGTAATTATTACTATCCTAAAAGCTCGAAAATATTTTTCAGTTTCCAAGCAAGCAACAAAATAATTAAAATACATTTCAAACATTATATATTTTTAATAAAAACAAACATTACATACATTACATACTAATCGATATAAACACTTAAACTTATCTACTTAAAAAAAATATATTTACAATTTCTCTATATTTTTCTTCTATTTATTATCATCGTAAAAAGCAGAAAATATTTTTCAATTTCCTTGCAGACTGCAATAAAATAAAGATACCAAACATTACATATTTTTAATCAAAACAAACGAGTTTATTCATTACATATAATTCAAAATAAAAACTTAAACTTATGTACATAAAAAAAAAATATTTGGAACAAGTTCATATCCAGAAACCTTTATTTGAGTTTAGCAAAAATGATAATTTTGAGGTTTGGTTTGGTCTTAGACTTCTTCATTGTTTCATTATGAAACTTGCCTCCGAAAAAAAGACGTTTTGATGGTTCTGATGAACGCTAAAATTGGTGCATGTTCCAATGCTGTTTCAGACATAGTTGGATAGGCTGAGGTCATCTATTTCCAAAATATTAATAGATTCTTCTGTATCTTGAATGTTGAAAGCTCTTTGGGCATTGAAAACAATATGTTGTTTCTTCTTTTCTGCCATGCTTTCTGAAACCTTTTGATGTGGTCCTGGAACAATCTACTTGAACACCCCAACAGACTCCGAGTCCGAATAAAATGTTTTTTTCTGGAGACAGAGCCAATTTTTGTTTAATTAAATTGGCAGTAATACTAAGAGCTTCGGAACAAGCCATTGGCATTCAGAAATATTCTTTTCTAAATCGAGAATTAAGCAGTGTTGACTAGAGAAAATATTAAATGTTCAATGTTGCCTAATCTTTTATTATATTGGGGTAAGATAGTTTTGTAAAGCTTTCCCACTTTCCCAGCCGTATTTTTCGGGCCAGCTTTTCAACTATATCTTTTAATATGTGGGCTACAGGGATCACCATACTGCTAGATAACTGATGGTCTGAACTCACTTCTTTGATAGCCAATTCAATAGGCTTTAAAATGTCACATACTTCACGTAAAATTTCAATTTGCAGAGCAGTTAACGTTGTAGGAGCGCCGTCGTAATCCTGTTGATTACATCGTTTACGAAAGGTCGAAGCTCTAAAAATCTCTGGCAGATCTTGAAGGTTGAGTTCCACTGAGGGGGGACTTCTTGATCCAGCTTTTTGTCGGTATTTATCTCTGTTGGATCAGATACAGTACTTGGATCATTCTGCAAGAGAGAGCAAGCTCTTCTGTTTTTTGTATGTAACGATTTAATATCAACTTTTGAAGATATCAAATTGCTTCTTTACGCAGATGAGCTACACATTTTTACAATATATTTGGTGGGATCGGGGATGTAGTCCAATGAATGTTGTAAGTTGAAACTATGCGAAGCTTTCGGTGTTTTATTACACTTTTCACAGAGGTAGATTCTCAGTCAATATTTAAAATTATTTTCTTTGGGCTGATGCGAAAATAATGCAAGTTTTGAAAAGGCAGTCCAAATTTAATTTTTAGAAAATAAAGAAAATTTATTCGAAATATTTTCCATCACAGTCTAAACATCTTTGCCAGCGTGTTATCAGCGCTTTTAAATTTTATTCCGCTAACATAAAAATGAATGGGAAAACTAAAAAGGTGGGGTTGAGATGGGAAGTTGGTGTCCGAATGGATCGAGGTCACGATAGCTCAAGGGGTAGAGCAGCGGTGTATCTAGACAAAGATCGTGGGTTCGAATCCCGCTCGTGCCATTGACTTTTTTATCTCAACTAAAAACCTTAATTAATTGTAATGTATTAATTCGTCAGGCGGACCACGAAATTAGTGAATTTAACATAAAAATCTTTATTTCGACTCACAATAAAGTATTGGAAGGAGTTTTCAGCATCACGGCGTTCTCTAAACTCCTAGGCCCTGAAGATGATCTCAATAAAGATCGAAACGTAGCACGATAATGAAAATCTTTTTCTTAAACCTACATCACACCAGACCGCATCTCACGATTTCTGAATAATCATCGACTAACGGTCAATAATCACCACACACACGTTCTCTAAACATTTTATCTCTCAAGAAGTGATCGAAATGTATAAAAAAGTGGACGTTTTTGAGTGAATATGGAGGGTGAGGTAAGGTCTCATTAAGTCCTTAAGTTTCCGCTGGGTTGACATTGCAAGTTGCAACATGTGGTCTTACATTATCGTGAAGAAGACTCAGTCCCTTACGTTTTATCAATTCTGGACCAAAGACGTTGCAAATGCCCGTGCATTTTGTCAATTTCTTGACGATATTTGTCTGTTGTGATAGTTTCACCATAATTCAGGAAATTATAGTGAACAACCCCATTATTACATCACCAAACAGTCATAACCTTTTTTGGGTGTAGATTTGGTTTCGGGAAGTGTTTTGGCTTTTCATCCTTGTCCAATCACTGACCTGTATGCCTCCTGTTATCGTACAGAATTCATTTCTCATAGGAGGTGATGATTCGATCGAAAAATGGATCATTTTGGTGGGGCAACAGCAGAGACGTGCCAATTTCAATGCAGTTGGATTTGTATTGGAATATTTTCGTAAGTTTTCAAATTGATTTGCAAGTTAAGAAATTATTTTTCGTGCATTATATTTAATAATATTTTTCCGTTTTTTAAAAATTTGGTATTACTCTGTGGGCCATAGCTTTTAATGAATTTATATTTTTTAAATGGACTGAAATTGTTAAATTTTTTCTTTTGATTATTATTTTCAAGACTAATTATGACAAATTTATTTCCTAACCATTGTTTTCGTTATTTTCGTTTTCGTCCTGTGGGTCTTTCACTCTTTCCTTTATTAGGTGGTTCTGGTTTGGTTGTCTGGACAAGAAGTCATATTACACTACTTTTTCTTGTTATGATCAATTAAAAATCTGTGGGCAATGTTGAGATTTGAACCCAGAACCCCCTAATGACACCCAAAGTGGTTGAAAGCCATTAAAAAATAATAAAAATAATATAATAAAATTTTTAAAAAACCAGAACCACTAATAAAAAATTAAGACCCCTGCCAACAATTTGTGGGTTTATTCCATATTTTAAGGTGTTAAGTAAAAAAAATAATAATAATGTCCCTTTATTTTAGATTTATTTAAAAAAATATTTAATAAGAAATTTTCTCCGGGTACTATTTAGTGTCTGAAAATAGGAAATGCGAGTCAGAAGCTGATCTCAATTTTTCGGCAGCTGCTTCTGGAGTCATGTCTCTTTGAGCTTGGGCCAGCATTTCATAGCTGAAAAAATCCGTTCAAATTAAAACAGTGGTGAAGGACACACTTTAGAATGCACATACCCAACCATAAATTTCCTTATGGAAGCTGACCGGAGTAAAGGGGGATAGAATAGGGCATGGAGGACCCAGTGTTCCATGTTTTCACTCCTTTTGGAACCAGTAGGGGCTCCTGTTATAACAAATGCAATTTTTACCTGTTTACTAGGTACTTAGAAAGTATTTAACAATGAACAGTTGACAATTTTTTTCTTAAAATTTAGGCTTATTTTTAATTAAAAATTACATACCATGCCAACCCATGGAAAATGGAAACACTGAACGAAATAGGTTGTCATATTTTACACACAGCTGTCGCATAATGTATGCCAATGCAACTTTTTGGTCATGGTTTATGTCGTACATCCTTTGGACATGGGTCCTCGGCAGTATCATAGTCTCGAAAGGCCAACTTGCCCAGAAGGGTACAAGGACGACCCATTCATCATTCATGAGCACAATCCTTTCCTTTAACAAACCTAAGGAAATAACATTTCTGCCAAGTCTACAGCAGAGAGAAAAATCTTAAAAAGAACCTTGTTTTCAATCTCTTTCCTAACATAATCCATCAGCATGGGGGTCCTATTCGAGATGTAGTATTCTCTTTGAGTTTTGTCTTTTAAAGCCGGCTCAGAAGGTATGAAACTCGAGGCCCAAATTTGCCCGTGCGGATGGGGGTTGGAACAACCCATGAGCTCACCCCTGTTTTCAAAAATTTGGACCCAATCGTATGTCTCTCCAAGATCCACAGTCTCATCCACCCATCTGAAGCCAAAATAAGAAACTATGATATTATATAAACAAATAAATTTATAAAAAGAAAGTCAAGTACATATTTATGATTTTGAATATATCTTGAATAGGCATAATTCCCATTGTAACTTCGGTTTTCGGTGCATAGCACAAAACCCGACAAGTGCCTCTTGCTGCACTGATTTTAAACAATGGATCATTGTTATAAGGTGGTTCTGGAGGCTCTGGAATAAGTGCTGGAAAGTCATTTGTGAAAACATATGTATTCGTATAATTCGGTGTAACCTAACAAAAAACAAAATAATTATCTTCATTGGATAGTATCAGTATAGATAATGAATAAATTAAAAATGAGTATATCAATAAAAACAGATTCACATCCTCATCATGATTTTTTTGTGACTATTAATTTAAAAAATTGGTAATAATTGAAACCTGCTGTGTTTTAATGCACCCTGGTAGTTTTTACTAATAAATAAAAAATAGAGAAAAAGATTCTCTTACTATGCCGTTGGGCCTCATGGCTTGAGGGACCAGAGGGTTAGCTGGGTCAGTTTCAGGGAGCGACTGTCCTTCGTATTTCTCCTCCTTGCCAGACCAGGGCCTTTCAATCCTATGCGGTGAGACAAGGACCCACTTTTCAATAAGAGGATTCCATCTTATATGAGGGTGGGCTAAAAGACAAACAAAAGTGGTAAAACCGTTGTCATAATTGCATCATGAATAAATAGATAAAAATTTATAAACTCAACCATCATAGTAATAGGAAAGTAATAGTAATTTTGTGATTTATGTAATAATTGTATATGAATACATAAACTTAGAGATAGCCATCTTGATCACTGGAATGTCCAATAGAGACAATAGTATATTTCGCATTGTGCAGGTTTAAAATAACTCAACCAGTATTTTATTTATTATAGTATATTCTTTTATATATTGGTACATTATTAAGGTAAACCTGTATATGTCCTGCATGTGGAGATAAGATGACCAATGTGTCCTGCTTAATATTAGGATGTCATTCCCTGGTTCCCTACTTAAAGAGAGTAAGTAGGAATGCCACCGGGTATGAGATTTATGCTTGAGCATGGCAGCGAGTATCTGGGTCACCTGTTCTGATTTTTAGAGAATTTGACTTGCAATCCTTTGACTCGCAAGAGTATTAAAAAGATGTGTCGGTTATTATAAAACAGTACGTTATTCCGGAGTAGCATAAAACCCTTCACTAAACAAGAAGAAAACTGAACTAACTCAAAATGTGCCCTTTTACATTATAAATACTCACACCATTGCTTTAAAGCTTGACACAGAATTACAGATAGTACAGGGAGAAGAGAGGCGGCCACAAGGCCCACTGCACCTCGACCTCTACTAACTGCTCCTCTGTTAATTATAACTAACTGGCCAGCTTCAGGCTATTAATCAGCCTCCACAGCTTTGCCAGCGGTTCCTTGATGTAGGATCTTCCTTGTGGTTTTTCTTGTCCTAGTTGCAAGAACCTGCACCTACAACTTCGCAGAAACATAAAAATGTGTTCTGCGGTGTCCTCCTCTTCCTGGCAGTATGTGCACAGTGTTTCTTCTGTCTGTATACCTATCCAGTGCATGTGCTATCTTAAGTGGCAGTGCCCTGTCAGGAGTCCAACCGGAATCCTGGTTCGGTTACGGTTGCCTACCAGTAATTCTTTTGTAAGTTTTGTGGTTGGTCCTTCAATGAATCTCTGCGCGTGCTTCATACCTGTGGTATTGTTCCACCAGGTTTAGGACTTATTAAGGATCCATTTTAAGATGTGCCTCTTTTGTGGCAGGCTGCTAGGCCACAGTAGAGTTCTAGGCCCATAGAGCCCATGTTGGCTCCCTTTTTGGCCAATATGTCAACCTTTTCATTGCCTCTATGCCCCGAATGTCCAGGGACCAATGCCAGGGTCAGGCCATTAGTGTTGCTGACTTTCATCAGGGCCTCCATGCATTTCCAAACACTCTTTGCCTTCGCCTCAAGAGAGCTGCCTGGCTGTCAGAGAAGATGGCTATGTATTCCTAGCCTTTTTATTTCTCTGGCACATCATTCAATCGCTACGATTTCAGACTGGAAAACTGTAGCATACTTGCCTAGGTGACAGTACTCAGTGATACAGAACTAAGATATGCCACTTTTTGTGAATAGTGACAGTACATTCCCACCAATTCAAAAGTGCCTAGCAGCTAAGAATCCACCTACAGTTGTATCATTTTTCCTGTAAAATTACACACCCGAATACTTACAAAAAAATCGCGTTTTTAGAATTTTTTGACTTGTGACACTTGTCTTGTGGCGATATATGCACACCTTATACAGAAAGGTTTAATGTTCAATTACCCATTGGGTGTCACGGACTAGGACTTAAAATCACAATAAATAGTTATTCAACCACAACAGTCTACAGTATACTTGATACGTATAATATGATGTACTTCATCAACTGACTATAGTTAAATAAATGTCTTTATTTTTCTATTAAATTATTCAAATAAACTTACACGTACACCTTAATGACACATTCCCTTGAACAATTAATAAAATTAGGATTTTTTTCTTAAACTTTTGTTTAGCCGTAGACATTTTAGTAATCAATACTTACTACTCATTTTAAATTATTTCTAACTCACAAATCACTCTCTGTGTACTCCGATAGGTCTAGAATGCAAGAAGGTACAGAGGCACAAAAATTTGGCCAAAAAAACATATATTCACAGTATATTGTGCGCCCTAAAGCGTTGTATGGCCCCACAGTCCCTACGTCATTAGAGTGTCTTCTGACTCTTTGCAGAATCATACCATGTTGGTTGATGCCAATCTTTCACATGGGCCCTTTCAATCGCACTTCGCGGATAGCAGCATGTGAGTCCTATAGGTGAGAATAACTAAATTGCGAAGGGAATCACTGATACAATCTAAAAATCTCCTTGTCACATTTGGAAAGAAAGAAGGTACATAGCACGTCAAAAGAAGAAGGAAGAGAGTCAGGATTCTTGACGACAGCATTGAAGACTAAATTGGCACTTGTGAAAGATTGCATCAACAAAACGTTACAATTCTGCAAAGAGCCATAAGACACTCCAAGGACTATTGTCAGACTGTGGTGCCACACTTTTCTGCAAGTCTTTGGGGTGTATAATATAAGCATAGAAGAAATACCGCTAAATGATCGGATTACAGATCAGATTGGGCCTCACCAGTGCTACAAGTACAAAACAGAGAAAACAATACATCTCAAATATCAATTTTCCTGGATGTACAAAAACATCTTAAACCGAACAGAAAAAGTAAAGCCAAAAGTAAATTACCTGATAGGGAAAATTCAGCAGCAGTCACTTCCATTGTTTTTTAATTCCACCAAGCTCCGATCAGCAAATTAAACAGCAATATACAAAAAAAAATAGCTTTTCCAATTAGCTAGAACATAGAAAAATAAACTTATAAAAAAATTAATGGGCGTTTTAACTGTTCTTTTATCTCTGGTGATAACAGTCGTGTAAACTAAACATGTTATCATTTGACATAGGTTTGCCGCTAAAAATTTAAAAATTTCCAGTTTTTTGTTTTTTAAACATTTTTGTCCATTAAATTTTTTCACTAAGTACCCAGAAGAATTTTTACATTTACTAGAATAACGTTTTCTGCCTTGTTGAGTCAAACAGAATTTAAAAGGCTGAAAAATCTAAAATATTTTTTAAACATTTCTTACCTCTGTACTGAAGCTTCAAATTATGGTGTAAAATGACTAGAAAATGGAAAATTCACTGATGGACAAATTTAACTCACCACTCAATTTATTTAGTTTAAAATTAAATCCATTATTTTTGTACATTAGTTGCAGGTAATTTTTAATTTATTTTGATTAATTCAATTTGTCTTTTTCCTTTTTCATTGCTCAATTTATTTACTTTTTATCATATTTATATTTGTTTCATTAAATTAGAATAATATAATAAACACTAAATATGAAGGCTTTTGATAATCATTGTCATTTTTTTTATTTTCCATTTAGTTTATCGACTATTAATGTCTGCATTCTTTCATTCTTTTTCAAGTGGTTTTTTTTCTAGTCAAAATTGATTCCTCAAAATAGATAATAGATATTAGATTATAATTTATATAGATCAAAGAGTAAAATAATTTTATAAATTTTATTTATTAAAAAAAGCAAGGAATCATTGCTTCACCACAGAAATTAGGAAATAAGTTAAATTTTGAAATCCGTCAATGTTGGTGGAAGCTGACCAATACATTTTACTCGTTCCATTGGGGCAAATCCATCTCTGTAGCAGGCAAAACCAAATATCTCCAGGACTTGAAATTTAACGGATAACACCAAAACTTTTATTTTGGCAGGGCATATTGAGATAGAGTCAAAAATGACAAGTTTACATTCAAATAAATAATATAAGAAAAATCAGGTCATCTTTGCAATGTTGATCAATTTATTTGATTGACCATTAAGCCCAACATTCTTCTTCATGCATTTTTTGTCTAGTCAAAATTGATTCCTCAAAATAGATAATGGATATGAGATGATAATAATAAAGATCAAAAATTAAAATAATTTGTATAAATTTTATTTATTTAAAAAAAGCAGCACTGAAATTAGGAAATAGCTAACACATTACTCTGCCCATAGGGGTAAATCCGTAACAGGTAAAATGGAAAAAAAGTAATTGATTGATTATATTAGTGTAATATATGGACATCTCCTAGATTTTGTTTATAGGTGTAAGATGAAAATTTGAAATGAGTCCCTTGTCTTAACTAGGGAGGGCTATGTCCGTCGGGGGCTGGGCGCGGCTGGCTTGTCTGCGGTGGGTGGGTGAGGTTGGTAGGGCTCCCTGAGCAAGTTTGGCTCCGGGGGATTGGGAGATGTGGACTTTTCCACATATCTCGATGTAAGGTTTTTATCCACATCTCCAAAACGGTCCCTCAAAATGGATTTAAAATTAGGCCTTTAAGATTGATAATATGAGAGAAGAGCCCTATCATTCCCTGTTCATTCGCTGCGGCCGGGTTGGTGGCGTCTGGCTACTGGTGGATGTGGTGGAAATCGGTTCATTGGCTGATGTATAACAACAAGGCCACAAAAAAAAAAAAAAAAAAAAGGCTTAAAAACAACAAAAAATGTTTACATTGTTCATTGCGTTTTTTTTTGTCTCGTCAAAATTGAGCCTTTAAAATCCCTGATGAACAAATTTAACACCCCATTTATTTATTTAGTTTAAAATTTTAAAATTAAATCCGTTATCTTTCTACATTAGTTACAGGTAATTAGGAGCTATTGTAGTAAAAATAAACAGTAAATAATGTCTTGTTTACTTCTTTTAATTACTTTTGTATGGAGCAATTCCATTTTTACAAAAATTAGCATCATGCCCTTCCATTCTGCTAATCTTTTTCCTTTGTTGATTTCATTTGGTATTATTCTTTTTTAATGGCTCCAGTCATGAATTTTTGAGACTATGACAGTGTCAGGGTCATAATATTATTAGAAAGATATAGCCAGCGCGAAGTCACCAGGAGATGGAATGTAAATCACTATAATAGGAAGGGTTCTTTGGTGAAGGAAAAAAAGGGCTTCACACTCGAAAGGCAGGACAGGGTCGACCTAGGTCTATAGATGAGAGACGATAGCCATCATCAGGCTCTATAAAACCGCAGCATTACAGGAAATGAGATAATAAATCCAATAAGACAAGTCCGATATGTTTTGATTTTTTTCAGGACTGTAAGAAGAAGGCTTAATCACCCGGCGCGGCACCCGGCCATTGTACATCCTACCACAGCTTAGAAAATGGCCAGGCTTCATTTTGCACGGGAAGATTGGGAACGAGTTATCTTTACAGTTTAAGTGAGAGTTGGCCTCAAATCTTCAAAAAGGTATAATTTCATATGGAGACACTCAGGAGAAAGGTGTACTCCATGCTGTATGGTTCCTCAGGTGGACTCTGTGGTGGATCATTGATGTTCTGGTGTTTTTTTGTTTTTGTTTTGAGCACGCACCATATTGGCTGTTCTCACAAAAGTACTTACAAGATATAATCCATATATGATTCCATATGCCAACATGGCTAGGTTAGATTTATCTGTTTACATTAGACGCATGCTTGAGATGAAAAATAAGCTGGTTAATAGGCAGAAACTCTCAACTGCCCTTTGAAAATAAGCTTGCTCTTTACCAACAGGTCCTTAAGCCATTTAGATTTATGACATCTAGCTCTGGGGGCTGTAACTTCAAGACCAAACATCATATACAAGATTTCAGAATAAAGTATTGAAAAGCATGGTCAATGCACTCTGGTACATCAGAAATGAAGACCTTCACTATGACAACAAAATGAAAACAGTAAAGGAGGCTCTATACAGTTGCTTTAACGTTGAAGCTGTCCACCTATTAGACAGCTAGCCGGATGACACATCAACACATCAGGCGTATGGTTTATTGCTGAGGCAGTAACGAAAAAATTAGTTAATTAGAAAAAAGATTACATATTAGCTTGGTTAATGGCTAGGTTTACAGTCTCTCCACCATTGAGGATGAAGAAAAAAAATGGAAGAGACAAGATTAAAAAATTTCTTAGTTATTTTGTTGAATATTGACCCAACTTTTTTAATTGATATTTTGGGTAAAATCAGCATCATGCCTGTTAGATAAATTAATCTAATGATATTTTGGTAAAATGTTAGGTATAGTAAAATAAAACAAAATGGCTTAATTTTATATTTACACTGTATCAGTAATATTCTCATGTTACATGAAACAATTTATATAAACAGTCAGTCACATTTCTCGTTGATCCATTAAATTTAAATCTTGAAAAAAATATAACATCTTGATGAATACAGCAAAAGTTTAGTGCAACTAGTTTTAATTTTTGTTTTAAAAACAAAATGAGGAACAATAATAAAATCTTAAACACATAGAGCAAAATAACATGACAGTAGTTAGTACAAAATTTATCACCTTTCTGGTCTCTCAACATTCAGTGAGATTCACTGCAATAAACGTCTATAGTACAGGTACATTTGTCTGAAGTTTCTCTTCATTGAATTAAAGGCCATAAACTGGCATTTTTTCTTCCAAAGTTATTTTGGATAAAAACTACTACTAGCTCCCACTGTGTTTTACCAACACTAACAGTGAAAATAGGCACTAACACGACAAATTTAGATCAATTACTGTCAATAATCAATTGACTCACACAGCAGTGAGTAAAACAGTTAATTTAGAACTTTTTAAACCAAAAAATAATATTCTGAAACTACAATTTTCTATTGTATATAATTTTTTTTATGTTTTTTTATTAGCAAACCATCGTTTATAACAAATAGGCCAAAATTGGATCATTCTTCCTCGCTTGAGTCCGAGTTGTGTCCAATTTGTTCTGACCACCAGTCCCTAACTTCCACAGTGATACTCGAGACTTTCGGATGAGGTTTACTATTGACTTCCCTTTGCTGTACTTTTTGTACATCGTTACCCTCGACTGAAACAAATCAGTTTTAAAACCCGAGCTCATTCTACAATCGTACTGATTTACCTGGTGCCCTGTTTCTTTTGCTGTTCTTGGCCTTCTCCTTGTCAGATCTTGTCGGGTCTGACAGTGTTGGAGCCAAGTATTTACGCCCTGAGCTACTGCCGACACTGTCAGACCTTGGGATTGCAGTGCTCGCCTTCGGTTTCATTCTCACCCTCGCCCCCTCAGCCTCCTGTTGGCAGAAAAAAAACTTAATCTATCCCTCCACTACTAAGATATTTGTCCAAGAGATCACTGGTCTTTACTAGATGAACTGCCAGAGAATGTGATCTGTAAGGAGGATATCAAATTCTCCCATATTTTGTGCAAAAATATGAAATGAATATGGTTTACATAAAACTCATCACCTGAAAAATGTTATCCTAAAGAAAATGAAAATAAAAAACTTACGAATTGGGTATAAGGGTTGAGGTGGCCCTTGAATAATTGTTTTGATAAATGATATAAACATTTGCAAATATGTAAACAGGCTTTGCAACAGCATCTGTAATAAATTCGTTTTATTTAAAACCAATTGTACAGTGTAATTTATAATGATCATTATTGTCATATATTGTACTATTTATGTTTATTAAGGTGAAATTTAAATCAGTGTGAGCACGGGCTAACAAACGCTGTGCTTTTTTTGCTGTAAATTAGAAAGTTAGTGCATACAATAGTTTATGCACATAATTAAACATTGTTATTTTGTAGTTTGTAAATGAAATTAAAAAAAAAAAAAATGTGCATAGTGTTGAATAAGTAAACTCTTTGCTATTTTGTGAGAAAAAATATTAAGCACCAGCTAATAAGCAAGATTTTATTAAAAACCCGTATCAGACAATAAAAAAAAATATATATATATTAAAAAAATTTAAGAAACTTTTTATATTTTTTAGAGTGACAAATATTTTAAAAGATTAATATAAAATTGTCCTTGTTCAGTACATATGTTCTGGGCACAAATAATTCAATCAACAAACCACTTAAAAAAATAAATGAAAAATATTTTATAATTTGTCCATTTATAAGCTTGTATACGTTCTAATTAAAAACTCTTTTACTTGATATATATAATATTTATCAATTGTAAAATTATCTATTAAACTCATTCGATATGTTTCAGCTCATTCAATATTCATACATTAGTTATGTGTTAAATTATATTGTTATTACCACTGGTATAATTAAAACTTAATTAAGATACTCAGTGCTACTTTAGTGGGCCAGATCGGCAGAGAAACTGTTGTGTATCAATAGCACTGTCAATAGGTGGCCCTTGAATCACCTGACTCTAGGGGTCATCCCCACCCGATTAAGGACAGACAATGCAAAGTTGGGTTGCACTTATTTTTGGGCCAAAGCCTGTGTGCCCAGCAAGAAAAGAATTGCTTGATGTATCCCACCTATTACAAGGGTGCAATTCCTTGGCTCCATAATTGTGCTTGAGAACAGCAGCAAGTATCTGGGTCCACTTGGGTCCATTACAGCAATGATAATTTCTGTGATACAAGAGAGTTTAACCCCCATCTACTGTTGGGCACCATAGTTGAGAAGTCAGGACCACTTAATAATATTTTGCTCAAATTAATCTTAAATAAAATAACATGGACTTTGGGATTTGATCGCCAAACCACTAGCACAGCAAGTAAAAGTGGACACTTTAACCATTTGGCCACTGCCAGACCCTCATTTGTCATTTTCAATAAACAGTTCTAGTAAGGAGTATACTTAAAATATAGTTCATTATGACTACATACTTTACTGCATAAAATATTTCAACTAAAATAAAAATATCTACAAAATGTACTTCTACAAAAATTAGTTAATATTTAAGGAATAATAAATAAGTGAAAAAAATAAAAAAAGATGTAGTATATGTAGTTTTATTAAAACTATCAGTATCTACTTCAAGTGTTATGAAAATAGTAGGACACTATATACAGAATATAAACTACAATAATAAAATATGGGTTCTTGAACATAGGGGAGAGTTTCAATTAATTACGTTTTTTAGTTGAGATAAAAAAGTCAGTATCACGAGTGGGATTCAAACCCACGACCTTCGGCTAGATACGCCGCTGCTCTACCACTTGAGCTATCGCGACTTCGATCCACTCAGACACTAACTTCCCATCTCAGCCCCACCTTTTGAATTTTCCCTCATTTTTGCCATTTTTATCTCAACTAAAAACCTTAATTAATTGAAAGATATTAATTGGTCGAACGGACTACGAAAACTAGTAAATTTAATAGGGGAGCGTGTTTTATTGCCTGAGGGTTGGTTAGCCTGTAATTTGGTCATTAATGATCATCCTGGTCTGCTTATCCGTGTTAGTTTGACCTATCGGATGCATTTTAGCATGTCGTCATTTCATCAGTTGTTCTGTGCAATATTTTTGTCCATTTTAAACATTTGTAAAAGTCAGATGCAAAGAAATAACACAAGCTTACCACTGAAAATTTTGAAATGCTTAAAAAGTATCTGACAAACTGAAACAGTGAGAAAAGACCAAGATTGAAGGAACTAATCTATACATAAATAAAGTATATTAAAAAATACCGAATTTCAATTTTAATCAAATGCATGCTTTGTGTGCTAAAGAATATTTGGGGGAAAAAGTGTTATCCAAAAAACTTGTATGGTGATTTCAACAATAAAGAGTAATTAGTATGACATTGCACTTAATTAAACAGTGCATTCTGGTGCTTGATCATAAAAATGTGCTTTCAGAAGAAAACTTGCATTTCTCTTAATAATGCCAAAAACATTGCCAGGCTATAAATTTTTTTTTTTAACATTACCTTGAACACCCTATTTTCATTTAATAAATGTATATTTTTTTCTACCATTTGCGGCTGAAATGAAAAGGTTAAAAATACACTCTGATAATTCTCACAGTCAGATAATTCAAAACAAAAATGCTTGTCACATATACATTTATTATTACAAAAAAAAAAAATATATATATTGTTACATACTGAAAGTTAAGATAGCTAAGATAGAAAGTTAAGATCATATATGTATTGCTTGTTTGAAAACCCATTTGACTACTAGCAAATAGTGCTTAACTTGAGAAACAAAATCGCACCATTTTTCAGTCAATTAAGCAGTATATTTTTTCAAAAATAAAGTCTGTTGATAGAGATAATGAAAGAGATAAGTTTTTTGCTATTTATTCTACTCCGAATTAAGATAAGTATTTATATCCATCCAATTACCATATTATTAAGTCTGTNGATAATTTATTATAGAATATAGATTTTTTTTTACTTTTACCCTCTCAATTTATTATTGGGTCTTTCAAGTTATAAAAAAATCTGTTATCAACACAAATTAAATCTGCCCCAACTATTAAAAATTTTGATTTTCCCATGATAGACATGGGGGGGTTTGATCTATCATATTACTTAAAAAAGAATGTACCAATTACTTTAGTTTTATTTAATTTAGTTTTATGTGTAATTAGTCATAAAATTATTTATTGTTATTTATTAAAAATGTATAATTCAAATATGGACAAAAGTAATGTGGTAGTGATATTAATCGTTTCTCAGAATTGTTCTTTAAAAATTTGACAGATATGTTACAATTTTAGTCCAGTTTTGAGTAGAACCATCCTTTCCAATTTTCAATGAAAATATATATTTGCAAAACTGTGTGTTCTCTTTAAGAATAGTTCTAATTTGCACTCCATTCAGGCACTAAGAACTAAATTACTTTATCATTAAGTTATAAATTACTAGAAATTTAAATTTAAACTTAAAATTCATATAAAATTTTACCTTGAACGACAGATTCTCATCTAATACATGCAAATTCCTTACTACCTTTTCGCACTGTAATAAAATTGTTGGTATCAAAACTATTGAAAAGACGTGGCTTTTTTTTTAAATATCATTATTATTCATAAATAAATTTGATGCTGTTGGAGAAAATAAATTTAAAAACAAATTCCTTGTGATGAACGAGTGTAACATTAATTTATTTATTTTGTTATTGTCAAGATGTTGACAAATACAATTTTTTTTTTTTTTTTTTTTTTTTGCTCCACTCTAATTTAAACATTTAACCCTCACAGAGCCAATTTAAAAAAATATATACATATAAAAAAAATACCACTTGTATGGTTTGAAAGCCAGTCCGCTGAATTTGAACGCGGGATCGTTACCTTACAGATGAAAGCAATAAAAAAAAATAGTTTTTGGATTTTTTATGGCAGAAATTTGGCATTGGATTATATATTCAAGCCAAAAAAAAATCCGACACTCGCATTTTGTTATTTATTGCAAACTATACACATGTATTTTTATCCCTATATTAATTACAACATACTTATTTTAATATAAACCTAATTAAACGAGATTAGAAATTCACAAGTTTTAATAAATATTATTTAATTATGATGGTTTGAAAGAAAATTCACCAAAACACCAGAAAATCATCTAGTGATAGAATAAATTGTTAGTTACATTTTAATTTATCACTAGATGATTTTTCAGTGTTTTGTTGAATTTCCTTCAAACCATCATAATTATTAAAACTTTGAATTTCTGGTACTCATTAAAATAAGTATGTATTATTTTTAAAAAGATAGTTATTACTCACAGTTTGTTGTTTTCAACGATCCGGATTTTAAGCTTACAGCTCATCATCAGGTTGAGGAATATGCCAAAACACGTGATTGAAAATTCCTTCAACATGATGATGAGCTATAAAGCTTGAACTCTGGATTGTTGAAAACAACAAACTGCGAGTAGTAACTATCTTTTTAAAAAGATTAAACAGCACATGTTCACTCCATCATTTATCCTTTCTATTTAAAATAAGTATGTTGTAATTAATGTAATAATAAAAATTTGTATAGTTTAAAATAAACAACTAAATATGAATGTCTGGTCATGACAAGAGTACCCTTCAGTGTGAATTACATTTGTATGTTATACATTTACACACAATTACACATTGTAGGGAAATCCGCTGGATATAAAAATGTAATTAACACTGGAGAGGATGTCATGATGTCGAAAATATTCTGTTAGTAAAGAAAATTCCATGCTGCAATATATTGTTCAACACCTACAGTACAAGTGATAGGAATTGTAGGATAAACAGCAAAAATATTTAATTATTAATTTTCAAAAATTTTTAAACATTTATTTAAAATATTACCTTTAATCCTTTGTTTTCAGTGAGCATATGCGATGGTTTTTCATGCTGTAATAAATCAAAATTAACCAAATTAACAATTGTTCAAAACATAATAGTTTTCATTGCGAATGAACTTCATAGGAGCCAAACTATTCTAATTCCAACTTACAGGTCTTAATGTGTAAGAAAAAATTTTTCCAGGGTGAAAATTGAAAATTTCAGCATGGATGTGTTAAGATATTTTGATTTGCGATTGTAAATTACCTTTTGTTAAAAAAAAAAAAAATACCTTTTGTTCAACGTCATTCTCTTTGTCAACATTATTCTCTTTAGCCTTATCCTCTTGCAAGTCCTGTTGAACATTGAGTTCATTGGTGGCTCTCAATCCTGCAATGAGGCTGTTTTGCTGCTTCTGCAACAAGCAGAAAGAAAATATTTTTGTTTATAATAGCTGCTAAGAATTTTTTTAAAATTTACCTCTAATGTAATATATTGAGAGGGCGATAAAGGAAACTCTGATTTACAAACAATCTTCATTCACATTTACAGTCAATTAGGGAGGGGTATTTCAATAAATTAATTTTGATTCAGAACAGCATAGGAAATTCATATAAAACGCTTCACACAGTTTGGTCAAATTCTCCTTCAACCGGGCACAAGTTTGGGCTTTCCTTAAAAACATCCTCATAAAAAGAAGAATTTTATTTCTCAAATCATAAGGGGGAACTATCAATTACACAAAACCCTTTGTCATAAATTAAAAAGAAAAATATTATTAAACAGACAACATAAATGAGAAGGGTCGTTAACAACTCCCGGAAATCAATAAAAGGCGAATGTTTCCTTTGATTAATACATACTTTCATCAATTCTGCATTCAGCCCGATCATAACCATCATCAAAATGGCAGAAAAAGGTTTCGCTGGACTCAAGTCTCTCTTTATCCCTTTCTTTTCAAGATTCTTGTCATAGAGCATTTTAAGAGAAGTTATGCTCTTGCTTGCTTCTAATACATCAAATTGTAGAGAATCACCGGTAAAATCTCGTTTGACATTTTTATTTTGATCTAGAAAAGGGAGTAACATTTATTTCCAGAATTTAAACAGATTATAGTAGGGCCAGCATGAAAATTTTTGCCATTTAATATTTATGACCGTCAATGTTATCACTATTTTTTTGAAGCTGAGTCAATGGGACATAATTTCTTAACCTAAAGAATTAAAGTAAAGTGTAATCGACCAGATTAGAACAGGTATATTAAAAATAAATGCAAATATGATCGGCAGTTTGTAATTTCTAACCAACTATTTATAATAAAATTTTAGATTTAAAACAATTCTTGTGATGAAAAAAAGTAAAAGTGTGTGTCAACAGTTTATAGTAATAAAAAAGGACACTAAAAACAATCATTAATCAATAAGCGTATTGGAAGGCTTCAGACCAACTTAACCTAAACTTACATTTATTATTACATTTTTATAAGTGCATATATTAAATCATATCAACCCCTTTGAATTGTATTGTAAAATATAATCAGTATAAATATTTTTTTTTTTAAATTTGTAGTATATTACAAATACCTTGAAGTAGGTAACATGTAACAATGAGAAAGGAAATGTATACAAAATTAAAAACAAGAGAGTAGAAAATACCCATTTGTGTTACTCCATTTTTTATTTAATTTTAATGTTTAAAAAGGAGAAATTCAAATTGAACATATGATGAATACATGGTTAATAGCATACAACAAATAACGTTTTTTTTTCTTTCTTCAAAACATTCACATTTCATGCTCAGGTTGCATGGAATACAATTTACAAAATAGCATCTATAAAGAATTGATCAAATTAGTAATAACAAAAGAAAACATTTTTGATATCAATCACCATAAACAAATCCAACATTACTCATAGCCCAATAGCATAACACATCATACATTTCAAACATAATTTCTTTAATCAAATAAAAAATTAATTAATTAAGGTTTTTAGTTGAGATGAAAAAAAGGTTAATGGCACGAGAGGGATTCGAACCCACGACCTTCGGCTTGATACGCCGCTGCTCTACCACCTGAGATATCGTGACCTCGATCCACTCGGACATCAACTCCCCATCTCAACCCCACCTTATGAGTTTTCCCTCCTTTTGCCATCTTTGATGTCCGAGTGGATCGAGGTCACGATAGCTCAGGTGGTAGATCAGCGGCATATCAAGCTGAAGGTCGTGGGTTCGAATCCCTCTCGTGCCATTAACCTTGTTTTCATCTCAACTAAAAACCTTAATTAATTGTAATGTTTAATTGGTCAAGCGGACCACGAAATTAGTGAATTTAAAAAATTAATATTTGAATTAGATAGGTCATAAAATTTAAACAAAACTAAGTTTTTTTTATGAATGATTTAAGAATATGAATGTTCCTATGACATTTTCCTGACAAGATTTATAAATACAGTATAAATATTTTTAAAATAAATAACATAATACAAATTTTAAATATTTCCAACAACAAAATATCTTTGTTAGTACTAAAAGTCTAAAAATATTAATCAACTCAATTTAAAAAGATTGCTTAAATGTAGATGTAATCTCAGAGGTATTGGCATGGTAATTTTGAGAGCTATCGTATCTCTTGTACAGATAGATCAAGCGAATCCTAATCCTTCAAGGATTTTATTATTAAGCCTGATTTTAGTAGTATTTCTTGTATGGTTACATTTCAAAGCCAAAGTATTTTCTCCTGTAGATAAGTGTAGCACCACAGTTTGTTAATATGCGCTAGGGCCTATTCCGCCTCTTCGCATAATCTGCAGTAACCCGTTAAGAATCCTGTTAGGAATTGGACTCTTTTCCTGCTTCCTTTGATGCAGCGTGCAGGTTTTTTACCCTTTTTATCAGGCTTTTGGATTGTTTGGATCCAGTGAGTGAATTTGGTTATTTTCTCACTTTTGCCATGTCTAATATCATAAGATCCTTATTGACAGGATCTTTACATGACAACAGGGTTCACGATGTATCAGCGGTGCATTTTTCTTGCAAATGCATCAGGTTCTTTATTTCTTTTTACTCTTGCATGTTCTGAGACCTAGTACAAAGTGATAATGTTTTGCACACCTAATCTGTTTAGTTTGGTTTTACAATTTAGCACCATTCTCAAGCTGATATTTGACTGAGTGGCTATATGATAGCTGTCTATTTTTCTGTTCAAATCACACTGAGTGTACCTCTCAATTGCATGAATTTCAGGTTAAAAGGTACATACCCATGTGTTCTGTATATTTGGTTTTGGAGCCATGTACTCCTGTTTTGCCTAACATATTTAGTTTGTTTTTGCATTTCAGCACAGTTCTCGATTCCATGCTGACTGATATGAGAGCTATGTTTCTTGTTTTTTATATTATATATTTAAATTACATGGATTTTGGCCTGAAATGTACTGGTATACAGGCTCTGAATATTTAATTTTGAGGCCAAATACTACTTTTATCTCCCTTGTGTTCTCGATCCATTGGTGTACACAGATTTTGCTAATAAATGGCAATGGCAAAGATTTATTTATTGCTATTTTATTATTACAATAGACATTGCTTGCTGCACATGTGATATTTTAGTTTCAAATATTTAAACACTAATACAATTTGTTTACAATTTTTCTTTGTTCATTTGGTTTTCTTCCCTTTAAACATTATTTAAATGTATTTCAAATAAAAATTGAGTAAAAAAATTATATTTAGATAAAAAATAATGATATAGAAATGGAAAATAAATTTTAATATGCTTATATCTACAACCATGAATAATATATTATGTAGGACAGTAAACACTGGTCAGTTACACTTTTCTAGTGTTGACAAGTTGAAGAAATTTCAAATTATTTTCCATTTTATTTGACTTCATAGACCCAAGAAATAGTTCCAGAGAGCTTGTGGCCTTTTTCCCATAGTGGTTATTAATTTGGAAAAAAAAGTTCATTATACAGTGATCTATGACTAAAACTGTCTGTTTACCTTGGGCCATGACTAGCTGGCCCTACTGTTACTACTTGTTGTTAAATAAATAAATACCAGAAGTAATTAATTTAAAATTAACAATTTTATTATTCCAAAGTATAACTTTGGGCACTACTTCTGATACTTTTAATTTTAAGTCTCAAATTTATCGTAAAATCTGACCTTTCACAATTAGACAACTGCTCAAGCTTGGAACTTTTTTGAGGCGCAGCTTTGAACGCGGCTTCATTGTGGAATTTGACTTCATTTGTCTCCTTCTGAAAGCAAATGTCGTTTCTCCTGGTTTAGTTACTGCGGGCCCTTTGACAAGAGTCTTTGGCGGTGGTTTAGGCACAGAATCGACTTTCTTTTTCTCTGGAGGCTGTTTTGAAACAGCAGGTACAATTTTCCTCTGATTTATCTTGGTGTTTGAAGTTTTCTGTTTCTTCAGGATGGAATTTGACCTTTCAAAATTCAAAACTGAGTCGGGCTTAAGATCTTTTTTGTTAGCCGGCTTTTTCAGTGAAAGGTTGTGAACAGCAGAGGACTGACTTTTCAGTTGGGTTTTGTTGTCATGTTCCTCCTTGCTCTTTTGAGAAACTTTTGGTTCGACTACTCCTTTCTGCCTGGACTCGGCCATTTTCTTAGCTGTCATACCGGATTTTTTTTTCGCAACAGGATCAGAGAAATTTGAACTTTGCTTGTTTGGTTTCATGTCGCCAGCATGGATGTTAGTGCTTTGGGTGAATTAAGGTAACGATGTACAAAAATTACATGTTGCGTATGAAGGGAAGATTAGTTTTGTTTTTAATACATTGATAAAAAAACTAGAAATAAAAATAAATACCTTAATGATGACATTTCAGCCACATGATTACTTAATGTAACAATAAATTTATCCCTTTTTGAATTTTCCAGATGGTAAACTTTATACATTTTGATATCAAGCTCATCTGACATGCAAAATCATTAAGATTTCAATTATCAATTCTTATTGAATTTTTTATTTATAAGAATTCCCGTAATATTGATATTGTGAGCACACAGTTGATCACCTTGATATTGTAACATACAACTACCAATCAGGAAACTGCGGTAGCCGAGTGGTTAGCAGGATAAACTCTCGGCTCGTCGACCCTGCTGTCATGAGTTCGATTCACACCATCGCCCCTGGCCTTTTTTTTCCCCCACAACCCTTCCCTCCCAACTATACATGATAAAATGATTAACAGAATCTAATATACAAGCACATGAGGCCATTAAAAAACAAACAAAAACTACTCATCAAATATAGAAAATACACATTGAATTATAGAGCTTGCGGCTAAAGTACATTCTCCATAATAGGTAAATTTCTCTTGACATCTAGTTTATAAAGTATTTCTACTCACTCAAAGTGTTTGTCTTCTGTGTAATTGTGCCATTCTTGCGTGTCATGTCGAGAGTGCCAGTGAGATTTTGCTATTTTGTGTTTATATACATTGGATTTTGAAGGGGTTGGGAAGGATGTCTTTTCTATACTGACATCCTTCCCCACCCCTTCAAAATTTAACGTATATAAACACAAAATAGCAAAATCTCACTGGCACTCTCGACATGACACGCAAGAATGACACAATTACACAGAAGATAAACACTTTGATTGAATATATAAAAAATATATTTTGCATTGTATAAATTCACTTTTTCACATCCAAAATGTAATTGTTATATGTAAACAATATTTGTAAATCCCAGGCCCTGAAGATGATCTCAATAAAGATCGAAACGTTGGCACGATAAAGAAATATTTTTCTGAAACCTACATCACACCAGACCGCATCTCACGATTNTTGTAAATCCCAGGCCCTGAAGATGATCTCAATAAAGATCGAAACGTTGGCACGATAAAGAAAATGTTTTTCTGAAACCTACATCACCGCATCTCACGATTTCTAAATAAATATCGATTAACGGTCACTAATCACCACACATTATCCATAATACCAATAGTCACTTTTTCAACACAATTTCCTTGTCCACTTCCAGATCAAAACTGTTTTTTTAATTTAATTAAATTCATTGACACAATATTTTTGTAGTTGTGGATTTTATGTTCTTTTGGGATAATATTAAATTTGACGCTTACCCCACTCGTAGCTCGAATTTTCTTTAAACACCCCTCCAGCCACGTCCTTATAGTCTGCTTGGCCACTTCTTCTTCAATTATGTACTCAAATTCTTCCCTAGCAAGAAGCTCTTCGAGCTGGAGTGCTTTCCTTATGTCAACTGAGCGGTACGACAGCATGCTAAATAAATATTAGGTTTTAAAATTCATGAAGTTGAAATGAAATATAAACGTAATTACTTTAAAACATCATGAAATGTCACATCCTCCCCGTTATGTAGTCTCTCCAACTCGTAGCACATGTGCTTAAAAAGCAATCTGTCCTTTTGTGGGTCAACTTCAAGCCTTCCTCGTAAAAGTCGGAGTATGAACCTCACCTTTTTATTACAAACAATTTTTTTATTATGACAGATTTAAAAAAAAAATGTATATCTCTTACTCGTTTTACTGGAATTACACCCCTCTGATGGATATCAACAACATTCCAGGTATTCTGGAAATTCCTTATATCTGCATAAGATAAAAGTGCATCTTCTTCATTGGAGTAGAACAATGAAAAGTTCTCCATAATAATAGCTGAAAATTGATGTTTTAAATTTATAAAATTATATTATTAATAAAAAAACTAAAATGCCACAAAGAAAACTCACCCACTAGTAAGTTAAGAACGATATATGTTATGATGACATAAAATGAACAAAAATAAATCAATGATGCGACAGTGTTTCCACAATCTGTCTCCCAATAGTTGTCAGCAGGTGTACAATGAGGAGGCTGGATCATGCAATCGTGCATGATTTTGTTCCAATCCTCTCCAGTTACAATACGAAAAAGCATGGCCACTCCAGTCACTGGTGACTCAAAATTAGCCCTCCTAAGAAAACAATTTCTATCAATATTAAAAAAAAATAAAAAAGGAAATTTTGACGAGTCCGTACCTTCCGATGCCTTCTCCATATTTGACAGTCCCAAAAAGTATGGTTCCAGCCAAGGCGTAGAAAAACACCAACAGGAACATTCCGAATATGATGAAGAAACTCTTGCACACTGACACGCCGACCGTCAACATGAGCATCTTGAGTGTCGCATGTTTTCCAGTTATCGTGAAGAAACGCAGTATAACAACAATGTACCCGACAGTGTATGATAAATTGTTCTACAAATTTTCAAAGCAGCATTAGTGTCTGAAGGTGCAATAAAAATAGACAGCATACCTGGAATGTAGAGTTTATAAATATCCAGCAAACACCTAGTACGGTGACAAAAAGATCATAGCGATTCCTTCTGGACTGCCAATATCCTCGTGGTGTAAATGCAATATTTTTCATTACGACTTCGACAACAAAGACTAAAGTCAGTGCTGTACTGACCAAGGCAAGTGGACCGGTATGGCCTTCCTCTTCTCTCCACTGCAAGGTTCAGAACATCAATATTGCGATTAAAATATACAAAAAGCTCGTACTATTTATAACATTTATCTTTCAAACATACGAATATTCAATAAAACTAACCTATTTAATTAAAGCAATGTATAAAATATAAAAGTTGCAGTAATTAAATGAACTTACTGAGACACATAGGAGGCTGCTGTTTATTAAAACCATTCCTGCGATGAACCTCTTGAAGTATATGTTCTGAGTAATGTCATATATGGAAGCCCTAAACCTTCTTCCGTCAGGCCGCGGTGGCAGGTGTAGTGGTTGAGCAATTTTCAATCTCTTTTTCAAATCACACCTGTATTTTGTTCATATAAATAGATTACACGACTATAGAATCTAGGAAAAGTAGCATACCATCTTCTTTGGTCAACTGTAAGTAAAGCTGTCCCTTTATTTTCCGAATAATTTGCAATTACAACACCCACAAACAAAGTGAGGCCGATCATACATCCAAGGAAAATATAAATGTGAATGTAAATAGCGTGAACCTGAAATTATGACATTTTTATTTGTTAAAAACGTTCAACAATTAGTGAAATAAATTATGAATTGACACGAAACAATATAATTACATTCAACAAATACAAAAACATGAACATACATCAAGACAACCAAGCAAAAATGCACAACCACAAATATGCTTTGGAACTTACGATGAGAGGATAACGCTTAGCATGCTCTGTGCGCAACCAGCACAAATATCCATATTCAAATAAAATCACTTGTATAAAATTTTACCCGCCTCATCAATCCCATGCACAGAGCCCGCATTGAATGCACAATGTCAAAGCGAGCCTTCCTATTTTCTCAAATAACTCCCAAAATATTATGAAATACTTTTTAAAAGAGCAGTTACAAAATACCAACTTTAATGGGTTTTCTCATATAACAAAAACATGTGAGTTTTATTTTAGAAAATAGGACTGAGTGATGCAGTGAAAATGAGCCTATGAAATACCAAACATTTAAATGAAATTAACAATAAACCACATTTTTAGTTAATATTAATAATTTTTCTACACCTGCAAATTAGTCCCATTTATTGTTTAGTAAAAATAATAAATTAGAAAACAAACCAGAATGAAATTTTAATGTAAGTGTCAGTTTAAATTTTTTTAATCTAAAATTGTTTCATTGTAAAAATTAGAAAAATATGTATATTGAATGCTGAAGATTAGTTTTAATTTCATGAATACCAACAAAGTGCTACAGAGTATTAAAAAAAACAACTTTGTGTATAAAAAAACCGCTTCAGATATATATACCCGCCATGGGGCAGATAGTTGAGAGACTCTATTTGGTAAGCATTTGTCCTTTCCCTGCAAATGATTTTCTTGCTTTTTGAATTTTTTTAATCAAAACTTGAATTATATTCATTCAACAATTTTCGTATAGATTGCGTACAATTTCGGTAAACGTTCTCCACTCTCCCATTCAAGGTAAGTACCAACTACTAAATGACAAAGTAATAAAATTGGTACTGATGGTTAATTAAAAAAGAGAGAATTTTATCCACTACAAAATATTATTATTAATTATTGACGTTATGTTTAGTTGATGGTGTTGACATTTCAATTATCTCAGGCTATACTTTGGCTGAAAAAACTTTAAAATAGTGAAACCTGCGATAAATATGATTTTTTTTTACGAGGGTATTTCAACCATGAGTCTATATGAACCCTTGGGAACCGGTGGTTTTTTTGAGGACAGGGACTTTACCTTACAATGATGAGCCTAAACCGTTGTGGCCACTGTAAATATTACGTTTATATTAAATTCATTGCTGTATTTCGCATATAATTTTCTCTGTCAATCTCTATTTCTTCAAAATTATCTTTGCAACTTGTTTCTGACAAAGAAACTATGGCCTTTTCTTCCTGTGTCTCTTCGTCACTAACAGCGTCATCTAGATTCTCATGGAAAAAAGAGGGCATGGAGTGTCCAAAAAATGCTTTTTTATTCCCCTTCTTCAGGTTCCTGGTGACCAAATTCTTCCTACCTTCCACTTTGACCTAAAAGGTTTTTTGGGTGATCCTTCTTTACATCCAAACCTCAAAAATGCATTACCCTTTAAGGCAGTCTAACACTTTTCAAGGTTCCTCTTCACTTATTTAATTAATTAATTAATTTTGTTTAAAATATTTTTTGGGGGAGCAATTATAAAAGCCTATTATTTTCCTTACTTCTTGCCATGTGAGAGAAAAGTAGAATTTTTGTTTTCCTGGTTGAGAGGGTATGCAGCTTCTTTAATTGTTTTCCAACTGGTGAATTCACCCAGTGTGGAGTTATTTCTTTCTCCATTCATTTATTTAGTTCTGCTTTGCTAATTTACGGTTCAAAACTAAAGGGTGTGGAGAGCTGCTTCTGCTTTTGCTAGTTTGTCAGCCTATTCATTATCTTCAATTCTCTCCTGCCATGGTATCCACATCAGAGTTTCCTGACCATGGTTTCCCACAGGAGCTGGAAATATGTAAAATTCCCAGATGAGCTTTTGATTGAAGGTGCAGGAATCTAAGGCCTTCAATGCTTCTTGGTTGTCTCAGAATATGTATTTCATTTTAAACTTTTGATTACTTTTTAAGTTTTTCTTGTGCATAGAGTTCTCTTGCATGGATCTCAGCTTGGAAAATTGATTGTTTGAGAACTAGAGGTTTTACTAGGTCAAAATTTGACTCCTGCCCCATTCCATGTTCCATTTAGATCCATATGTGTACCATAATAAGGCCCTTCTATAAGTTTTATGGTTTTCATTCTTCCAAACATTTTTTATTTATTTTTTGTTTAATCTATTTTTAGGATTTTATAATAACATAGTCTTAGGTCAGCTTTTATTTCTTTTAGTCCTAAAAGTTTTTGCACTTTTGTATGCCAACCTCTGGATATACGTATGCAATGTTGGCAATCCCACCAACAATTAGTAAATACGAATCATTATAATTTCTTTAATTGATCATTAATTATTAATTATTAGTATTAGAGAAATATTGCAAAGTCTGTGGAAAAGGTCATAAACATGCCACATGGCGGGTAAATTTGGGGGGTTTTTTCTCTATATTTAATAATTAGAATTACATTATATGTAAAATCTATTTTTATTCTTTTTAGTACACATTAAGCTTGCCTTTCTGTAGCACTCTGGATAGTTATGCTGTATTTTTCAAGACAAATGATACATGATTTGGAATGTTATGATATTGCCATGCAGCTGTGTGAATAGAAGTTGGATTGAATGTTGTAATGAAAGTGTTACATTCTATATAACATGCTACATATTGAACGGACTACAGATATTCTAAAGCTATATTTTTAACAATTCTTATATGTTATTGTCAAAGTTACTACAGCATGTTTTTCTTTGTGAATATTGATTTACCTCAAGCTTCTCTGAGCAGACTCACATATAACATTGATAAACAACACTGATGCTTCTTTTCAATGCCGCAACGGGGAAATACAAATTTTCAAAGGGTCGTTAATGCAACATGGATGTTATTGCGATCAAAAAACAAAACAAAATCTCTTTAATACACATCTATTCCCTGATTCTCATGCTTTGAGAGACACAAAAATAACATTAATGTTTCAAGCACCAACCATTCAATTCAAGGATAGGGGAACAACAAAAATTTGGTTGCTGAAGGAAAATCGGGAGCTTTGCTTGTCTGTGATGGACTTACAGGGCCCAGAGCTTTGATGAGGATGTCACGTACGTCCAACCAGCCCTTGAACGACAAAACTTCGAACAGGGCGAGCATCGCATATCCGATGTTATCAAAGTTGAATCGTCTCGGGTTTGCCCTTTAATTTTTAATTTGCATCACCCAGAAAAGAAATGTGTTTTCTTGGTCAATTCATTTGACAAAGCAGCTGTGTGGTGTAATTTCGTTTAATTTCTTTGTGATACATGCAGTTTGTGCTGATTTGTGGTGTATTAGATACCGTAATTGGTGCATAATGTTTTGTTAAAAATACAAAAATATTTGTATGTAAATTTTTGAATATCATATTTATATTAGAATCAAAGCAAAATGAAGCACAAAACAGTGCAATTTAATATTAAATGTCTTCAAAGACAACAAACACTTTTTTCAACATTAATCCATACATAATTTACCATATTAACATTTCAATTAATTTTTTTTATCTAGGGCCTTGAGTGAGATGAAAAAGTTTCGAATTTCGAACTTTCGAACCCACGACCTTCGGCTCAATATGCTGCTGCTCTAACCACTTAAGCTTTGGAAGTCACGGCAGATCATATTTAAAGCAGCCGCGTATTGAGCCATAGGTCGTGGGTTTGAATCCCGCTCATGACACTAACTTTTTCATCTCAATCAAGATTTTAGATAAAAACAATAATTTATTGAAACTTTTTTAAATGAAAACTTACTTTCATTTCAAATTATCATTTTAGAACCAAAAGTACTGTCATTCCTCAGTTTTGTCCAAACAAACACATTTTTAAATATATATGAATTTTGTATATTGTAGCAATGTTAACTTTAAAATTGTACTTTTTGTAGTGTTTTAACAATAATAAATTTTCCATAGGCATTTTTGGGAAAGTCAATGTAGTTTTAATGTTTTGTATTGTGAAAGAAGTTTGCTCAAGTTGATCGATTAAACATTATACTGTTAAATTATCCCCTGTATTTGGCGAGTACAAGACAACATTCCCTTCGCCATGAATTTAAAAAATCTTGACGGGGATTAAAATTACACATAAGCAACAAAACTTGATTTAAAAGCCTTTTTATACTTTGTTGTTTTATTTGTATTTTTCCACCAATTCTTACATGCGAACCATTAAGCCATTTTAATTTTTTTTTTTTTTTAATTTATTTTGATAAGGTAGGAAGGAAGATATTTAAAAAATCAAGTTGACATATCACACCAATTTACATCACTGACAAATATTTTCATTTTGTCTTTCATCATACAGAGTATTAAAATTAAAAACTCAAAGTTTTACATTTGAGTTAATATTGGAAAGAAAATGGAAAAACGAATTTCTCAAAACATTCCGTTAGCAATCAGTTTTTATCTGATTTTACTTGGCTTTCATCAGAACCAAAATGCTCACAAAAAAAAAGTGATAAAACGCTTACCAAACGCGTGGCACAACAATAGAAGGATAGCTTTCCCCGTTGTTTTCCCTGATTTTCATCTTTGTAACAAAAACTCTTCTTTCGAAGGTACCAACGCAGTCCTCCCTCAGGGTAATATTAGGATCATTGCATCTTGCAAGCCTACCACCAAAAAGTTGCACGCCATAACTTGCAAACACAAACATCAACACTATCAAGAGGATTGATACCTTAAAAGTTAAAAAAAATTAATATTAAATAATATTCAATTTTCACGAATAATCAAGATCTCAGTATGATCTGGATTTAAAAAAAAATTCAATTGTTACTGCCAAGCTTTCAACCTATTTTAAGGTCATCATCAATATTGAATAGTGTTATAGCCCTTGGCAATGTTGGGACTGAGTCGATCTTCAAAAAAAATTATTAACAACTTAATTATGTTGATTTGTAGGAACTATAATTAGGATAGTTTAGCACTGTGTAGTAAGCAACTGTGCTCCAGAATTTGCGGGGACGTTTTTTGGCATCCAACACAAAAATATCAGACTTGTCAACAAAACCCTGTTTATGACCTTAAAATATGTCAAAAACTTAGCAGTAACAATTGAAATTGTTTTTTCATTCAGGCCAATCCAAGATGAAGATTATTCATGAGTAAAAAAGTGGTCGATAAATCTAACATTTTAATTATTCAATGTAACAATTGTATTACCAATAATATTTCCTTGAACCCTCTGCAGAGTTCATCGACAACTTTTCTCATGTGAGGAACAAGCGTGAAGATCCTGAGCGGTCTAACACAACGTAAAATCATAAGCAACTGTGCTCCAGAATTTGCGGGGACGTTTTTTGGCATCCAACACAAAAATATCAGACTTGTCTACAAAAAGAAAATAAATAAACTGCATTTAAACCTGACACACTTGGATATTGCAATACTTACAACAAATATGAACACATCGAGTATTGAAGCTACATCTTTCATGTAAGCCTTCGGAGTAAAAAATATTCCATCTGCAAGAATTTTCAATGTGAGCTCCAAGCTCATCATAATTACAAAAACATATTCGGCAATCTGAAGTACAGATGTGGACATGACCCGGTATGTAGGAGTCTCAAACATCATCGAGATGCACGATAGTGTGGTGACGTTTATCATAACCCAGTCCAAATAAGTGACAAGGCTGAGAAAATTGCTTAAAAAAAAAAAGTATATTGAACCAAAAATTCCATTTGTTCTTCATTCATTATAAAATATTGTATCTAAAAATGTTACTTTAAACTTACTGTAATCGTTTATATTTGACCTTCCTCTCTTTGCCAGTAAGTGGATCTCTAAGCCTGGCATCGTACCTTGCGTAGACTATCATTTGGCAAGCCTTCCTAAATTTAGATTCCCTTGGGACTATGAACAGCGGTGTGTCAAAGAGCGGATGGTTCTCTCTAAGATCTTCCTCCCTCTGGTTTCTGCAAAACATTTCCTTTTTTTATCTTGAAACGCAACGATCTTATTCAAATACCTTCTCATTTCTGCTTGTTGCCGTTTAGCCTGAAGGAGTTTAATATCGAGGTCGTGGGGTCGGTTGCGTGAGGAGCTCATTCGATTCATTGCACCGATGTCTCCGTTCTCCATGAGGTGTTCGTAAGTCTGTTTCAGCTTGATGGATCCGCTTCTCACACTTCGGCGAATAGAGCGATTCAAACAACTATAAAATAACGGGTTTTGTGGAAACTAATACTACAGTAATTGTAATAATTCTAACTTTTTTTGGTCCAGGCGAAGCTGTTTCGCTGAATTGATCGTGCCTTGAGAATGCAGAGCTCCTTTCCCTGGTACTGGAATCACTGCTGAATCTCCTAGCATGAGCCTCTGGTTGTTTGAATCACTAAAAAAGTACATGTTTCAAGTTTAAATGTTTCATTGTTAAGTTTATTCATTAAATACTTGATGATATTTGTGACAGCGGCCTTTTTAAGTTCTATGCTGACATATCGAACTTTTATGAGCTGACTTAGGAGCTTCACTGATCTTTGCTTCCTGTAGACTATCTTCGAGTTGTACGGCTCACAGAGTTTTTTCAAGCTGTCATTTTCATCCTCTTCCACTTCGACCACAAACTGTCGCATGAAGCTCTCTCTGACCTAAAAAAATTTATTGCACTCAATTTCATACCAGAACTTAATGAAATATGCTTACCTTTGGTAGGATAAAGTCTGAGGAGACTTTGTGTAATACTGTCATCTGAGGGCTGTCAGGAAATTTCTCAAACACTCTAAGCCTGAACGGAAGAGTTTCTTTGATTTCTGCACTCTGTTCTCTGAATTTTAATTGCTTTAATTTTTTCAGCTCTTCGTCGAGTTCAAGATTATCTAAGATGACTGCTACGAACAAGCTGAGCACAATCTATAATAGAGGATATTTCTTAAAAACAGTAAAAACTATTATAAAAACTTCAGGTGACATTTTTATAAATACCAATGTGACAAAAAGATGATAAAGTATGAAATAAATGGCAACAAGAGGCGCTAAGGTTTGGTTTGTCCTTAGCATTGTCTCGTCCATAACTTCTACCCAGGCTTCTTGTGTCAAGATTTGAAACATAGACATGAATGCCTCCGGAAAGTTTTCAAATTTTGTAAAGTCAGCTAGAAAGCAAAACAACTGCATAGAAATGCTGGAAGAAATTATCAAAAGGCACATGGTGAATATTATAAGGCTCCCGAGTTTTTTCCCAGGCCCGAAGATCTTGTAGACAAAATCCTCCAGCATCGGGGAAGCTTTTACAAGTCTCAAAATCCTTAGGACCTGTAACAATTCAATAGTAATTACCAATAAATACATATTTAAGATTTATATAAATTAAAATTACCTGAAAGTAGGTCAATGGAGACAAATAAAGGGACGGAATTATGTGTAGTGTCGTCCCAATGCTCAGGAGGAGTTCGAACTTATGGTAAGACTGGTTGAAGTATCCACGGAAGCCAAGGCACCATATTTTAAAAATTGCTTCTAGGTTTAAAACTATTGTGAAAGCAACCTAAAATAAAAATATTATATGTTTAATACTAAAAGGTTAAATTTTTTAAAATATTTTATAAGCCAAAATTATTTTAATTTCCAAACTATTCAAGCTACTTAACGTTACAAAAAAATTAATATTATTCAAATGAAGTTAATTCTGAATTTTCTCATTTATATAATGTGTTAAAAGAATTTACTTCTGCCCAATAGTAGTTTTCATAAAATGTATGCCTAGGCCTTCCATCATGTTTAAAATGCATTGTCGCTGTGACAATTCCATTTGCGAGGATAATTCCCATCATTAACAGTCGGAATGATGCACTTCTTAGAATCGTCTGGCAAATTGGTGGAGCGAGGCCACTGTATTTATTCTCATCAAGAGTAACTAATTTCCACCCCATATCATCTCCTGTCAAAATCTGTAATAAAATCCAATAAACTGTTTAAAACTATTTTTATTTGCTTATTTACATTATTGTAGATCCTTTAGCACTAGTTCTTTTTTAAAAATATATATAAAAGCACCTGGGATGCAGATTTATTTGTCATATGTCCACGAATGCCCCACATTTGCTGAAACTGCACTCTAATCTCATTGAACGTTTCTGTTATCACAGCAATGAAAACGTTCTTCACAAGCCAGGCTAGAAAGAAAATCATGGTGCTGAAGTAGAACACAGCTCTCCAGCCAGGCAGACTATCTATTGCCCTGTACATGATAAACACCCATCCTTCTTGTGATGCTGCCTGATATACTGTAAATATGCTCGTTGCTGCAAATTAAAAAAAAAAGCTTAAGAGTACAGATTTTATGGGCTGTTTTGATATTTTGTACCAAATTCATCAAAACCGTTGAACCCCATGGTGTATTTATCTAGTTCGAGTTTCATACATTTCATGCCTGCTGGACACTGGTACCCTGAATCAGGGTCTGTTGAGCAAAATGTATCAGGGATGGCCAAACTGTTTATACTTATCCTACTGCAAAGGCAAAATAAAAGTTTTAAATCTAAGCTCAATAATGAAAGAAAAATTGTTTAATGGGGGGAAAAAATACATACTCAGGAAGAGTGGTGTTAAGAACACAATGATTTTTCAATTCGCCAAAAAATTGGACTCCAAGAAGACCGTAAAGTGACATAAAAAATAAAAAAAATAATGTAACATTGTAGATCTGCTGGCTCGAACGTCTGTAAAGAAATGTTTTAATTAATAGAAATCATATTTCATCCAGTATTACTTGAAAAACTTCTTTTTACTTGAAAATCTGATTTATTCTAGATTTAGGCATAGAAAACTTGAGAAACACTCTGATGAATCTTATCATTATAAGTGGTCGAGGTGCCCTCAAGATTGACAGGTAGCTGAATGTCGGCACGATACCAAGCAACTCGAACATTTGCAGGATGACAGAGACCCAGAGGAAGAACACCATGCTTGCATCAAATTGGCACCAATGGTCTTTTAGGTAAGGCACTTCTCCCTATAAAGCACAACAATAAACGAACAGACAAATTTCAATAGAGGAAATATTACCTTTAAAATGCCTCTTATGTGCATTTTGGCAATCATCTCCGTTGTGAAGAGAAAAGTGATGACTAGGTCTGAGCAAAATGTGATGTATTGGAGTGGTGGGAGACATTCGAAGGTCTTTGGTGTGTTCAAACTGACTGAGACAAGGCTCACAAGAGCACATGATCTCATCATCCGTCGTACCCATCGCTGGAAAAAAAATTTGAAGTTTTAAAATTTGGTTATTGCTGATCATTTTGTCTGCTTTTCCATGTTGGTTTGAACTAATGACACTGAAGACGGCAACATGCGGAAATGCATCTTACAAGCCAACCCAGTGAGGATATGCAGACAAAAATGATTGGAAACAATGAAATTTCAGGTTCATTGCCGTACAGACAGAGATTTATTGAAGTTTTATTATTCAAATTGATCATGCTTAACCTATATTGTTTACCCTAACCATCCCTTAAGCTAACTCTCCAAAACCATTCAAATCCATAGACCTTAAACCAGGATTCTTATGCAATTGCATATTCTGTTGGGTAACACTTACGACCATGCCTTCTTGGTTCAGTTATTCAAATTTTATTCTCCATATTTTTGCATATTTGAAGAATATTGCATACTTTTGCATATTTAAAAAAATAATGCATACATTGGTATATTTGAAGAATATTCTAAATTTCAATACTTTTGATTATTTAGAAAAATTAAAATAAATTAGGTAATTAAGAATGATCCTAAAATTTGATTCAGATTTCAGTTAACTTTCCAGAAATAAAGGTATAAACAAACAGACAGAACAGAATTCTTTTGAAACAATCCGTATCTTATTTGAGGCCCCCCTAGTTACAAAAATTCTGTGCTTTTTGACTTTCCTCAAAAATTAATTTTTCCAAATTAGGCAGTTGTGGAATGACAGAGGCCGTATTTGAAACAAAATAGTTAATATCAGTCCTCTTTCATATTTTCCATTTAATAAATCTAAAAATATTCCAAAAGTAAGAACAACAGTATGCTGGATTTTTCTTTTCAACACAAAAGAAAAATTAGTTAAATCCCCAGCGATGCTGGAATTAAATTACAAAAAAATTAAACATCCTTGAAAAAATGTGCCATAATGACTGAATTGAGGAATATTAAGAAAATTTTAAACATAAACAATAAAGCTGTTATACAGCAAATCAACGATCCAGTTAAGTTCCTATAAGTGTGTTCCCATCACCTCTGTAGACACTGAAAAGTATTATTCTAGGTACAAATATTTTTTAAACTAAACGCTGTGGTTTACAAATGGTGAAATAATTGTCAATGTATGCTATTTAATGTTATTTAATATTTAATGTTCAATAATTTATCTAAGTAGTGAGGTGTGGTCAGGATTGAAATATTTTAGAAAAACACATTTTTTATTTTTATGTATTTACTTATTTTATTTTAATTTTTTTATGTTTTGTCTTTTATTCAGGACACCTTTGGGGCCTGGGTGAATTACAAAACATGTAGATTGGAAAAAATAATTATAGAATACAGATGTAAATAATATACATTTTGGGCCAATTATTTCATATTCATATATAGTGTGGTGTTATTCTTGTCATATTTGTTTCGTGTGAAATTGAATCACAAATTACTGTAGCAGAATAGAAACATGGCACCACAAGAATAGCACCAAACTTTTATGTGAGTATGAAATATTGAGCTCAATATTTATATTTTTCATATCTGTATTATATTATTATTTTTTCCAATCAATGTGTTTCACCCAGGCGCTGACAATCACCTGAATAAAAGTCAAAATGTTGACAAAACAATAAAAAAGTGTTTTTCTAAAACACTTCATTTCTGACAGCTCCTCGATACTTCAAAAAATTATCATTGTCAATTTTAATTCAGATCATGAACTTAATTAATCTTAATTATTTATATGGTATAATCTTTTAAATTATATGATTTTTATATGACAGATTTTTTGTCCTATTTCCTTTCAAAATGAATATATATTAAAGAAAAAATACATCTAAATTAAAAAAAAACAAAAAAAAAACATTAAATTATTAGTCAGGTGATATGTCTGACATTATCCTTTGTATTTTAATATTTTAAGTACAAATTACATGCCATATTTGAGGGTTTTTTAGTGCATTTTTTGTTTTTTATTGCATATAAATCCAGGCTCTACATATGATGAACACCCAACAACAGAAAGAAATAACCACAGAAAATTTAAAAAATAAATTTTTGGTGTTTAAATCTGCCAAAACAATAAAATGTTGGATGTTTAAGTAAAAAATATTAAGAGACACAACCGACAAAATAACGCAAGCCAATCACTGAAGAACAATGTCAACAAGTAACTGACAGGAAATAAAAAAAAATAATTTAAAAAATAAATAAATAAAAACAGCAAAATGTGAGAAGGCAGACCAGGAAGACAGAAGATTGTCATTTTAACCAGGCATACTTCACAAAAAATAATATTTTAACTTAAAAGGACTAAAGTGAACATTAAACAATAGGTATGATTTTTTTCAGTTTTGAAAATTAATTTTTTTAATTTAGTGTAATTTAAATTTAATTAAATAATAAATAAATAAACGCTGTCGTTTTTATAAAATTAATTTGGATTAAAAATAATCTGTTTCGGTTGCACTGAACGGCTATCGGAGGTCGCCCACCAAAATCTCACCCCTGCCTAAAAATAAATCCCAGAAAGTTTTATTGATACAAGCCGCACCTTGTTGACCCATTCTATGTCGGCGCTTTCGTTGAGAGATTCCTCCGGGCCGTAGTCAGCCAAAATCTGGTCACCCTTCAAACTCTGCTTTCTCCCAAGCATCATAATTCAAATGGGTGATCGCCTCCCGAAGAACCCATCGTCAAAATTCTCCTCCGGCCAAGTCGCAGCGGAACTCCTCGTCGGCGAGTAATGTCAAAATCATATAACGCGCATGTTCTAATGTATCGATTTGACGAATTCGAAGCAAAAGAGTCGGACTTCCACGTTAATGTTAACATTAAATGTCCGTCTGTAAGGAGTTTTGTTATGAAAAAACCACTTTCGGGTAATTTATTCTACACTAATACACAGAACTTTAATTATACTATTGTACTTTGACCAATTTTAAATACAATTTAAGCTAAACTTGAGAAAGGGGTTCAAAATTGAAGATATATCGAGTACCACATCGATACTCATTATTGACGGGCTAACTTTTGTTCTAATCCATCCAGCCTCCTGATCCGAAAGCCTGGATGATCCAAATCCGGGTATAAACTCGAGATGACATCACAGTGCTTAAAAAGTCTGAACAATATTAACAAATAATTCTTTCTCGATTAAAAACAATTGTGCCTGTTCAGCAAGAATAGCGTAAAATCGTAAAATATGCATAAAAATTGTACCGTATGACTTCAAAATGGATGTACGACCATGATTTAACTGACTCATTCTGTCTGTATGTTTTCATCTGTCATTACAAATGTTCTTGCACTCCGCCATCTTTGGAAGATGGCGATTGGTCGCAGGATTGCCGTACCAAAATATCAGTTATCAAAGTTTTACAAATTAATTAAATTAGGTTAATTTTGGTTCGTTTGGGGGAAATTCTGATACGGTAGTAATTGGTTAAGAGAAAAACCAACGTTGGCCAAAAGAAACTGACTTCTAAATAGTTTCCAGAGTCTAGAGATTGTCCGATCAGGAATTTTACTATCATGCCTTATATCTTGTAATGTTTTTACTTATTCTTCTTGTTATTATTACTACTAGGAAAGTCTTTCATTGAAATTATCAACCAGGATTGGAATTTGTCAGCACATGTGGCTCCATCAAGATGCCTTAGTATCTTTCATTGTAAGAAGATTTACGGGAAATAAAAGTTCATTTTTATCCTGAGGTATTGCGCATACAATATTTGGTTTTCATATGTTCATCATCAACGATAATGTTTGTAAAAGAACTTGAATTTTTGAATTCTCGAATCAAATCTGAGAAATGTTTGAACGATGCATAAGGTGAGTGCATTGTGTGGCCCTGAGGGACAGATTCTCGGTGGTTCTTTCGTAGTGCCTTTGTTCGAAAGAAACGCTGTGTTGGAAAATAGGCAGTTTTGGTTGGACTGAAGCAACGGACGTACAGATGATGCGGCTAACTTACTATCGCGATCCGACAAGTCAGCTGACGCTAAACGAGCAATAAAGCATGTAGTAAAGAAAAAGTACCGTCAGTGGCCCAGACTAAGAATTAGCCATATGCAGTTGACACATGGACACTTACTCTTGGGCCAAGACCGCGTATATGCCCGCCATGCAGAGAAAGGGTCCGAATATGTCCCACATAATTGAAGGGTGTCATTCGTTAGCTCCATATATATTATGCAGGGTGGGCGACCAAGACCCGACGGGTTAAATGCCTGGGTAGATTCGTACCCAATCCCTAAAGGGTCCGGGACTGGTCGGTTCACGTGTCCTGCATAAACCTCTTGGACTTGTACACAAACCCCAAGATTTTGGACCATTTTATCTCGGGGAGTGATTTGGTGATGTCCTCTCCTTCAAAAGTTTCGAATCTATACCTGGCGTACCTATCACACTCTGCGAGGTTGTACCGTGCCGTTTCTTCTTCTATTTCACAAAAAACGGCAGAAGGGGTCTGGTAAAATACCCATTACGAAGAGGTGTCTTTTCAAAGGGCAATGGCCCGTCAGGATACCTACCAGCCTCCTAATTCCCTTCCGTGAGTTAGAGAGTAGCCATTTTAATTCTTTTGGTTTGATCTCCTTCACAAACTCCTTCAATTGCCTATGTCTGGGGGACAGATTCCATTCTTTAAGGAATTGTTTCATGCCCCAGCTATTAATACTCTCCTTAGTTCCATATAAGGAGCAAATAGGAAAGCCGCCAGATAATTAGGCGAATTTTTGGGTCCCCTATTCCGATTCCTGGAGGAAACTGGGTTAATTATGTATATATATAGATATTTTGTTGATTACAGGTAATTTTATTGATGTATATATACTAAATTAATACAGTATCTTCCAAACGAAGGTCCATCCAATCGAGAAATGTACCCAGTTCAAGGTGAATAAAGGGAACAAAAACTAGAATATAACTATCATGTCAAATAGCGGAGCAGCCATTAAAGAGCTAAGTTCAAACATCTTTATCTCAAAGGTGGTGCTGAATTGTTAAACTAAACTAATTAGGTATGCAAAACAAAGTCAGCATCTGCTGGGTCCCAGGACATGTAGCAGTTGAAGGCAACGAGAAAGTTGATGCCTTTGAAAGAAAAGGCGTACTATACCGCTTGTTACTGCCAAGCTTTCGACCTATTTGATGATCATCATCAGAGCCTATATTAATTTCACATTATGAAAAACAATTTTTAAATCATTTATGTTTTTGTAACGAATATTTCTACTTGTATGTTAAGTTTGTATGTTGTCTGTTACTATCAAAAATAAATTAATATCCTTACAGGCATTCATTGACTACCATTATCGTTAGAGCAAACAAACTAACGTAAATTACTGAGAGTCAATATATGCGAGAAAAGTTTCACAACTCAAAAAGGGGTAGTTTTTTAGGGATAGTACACCTGGATTTTAAAAGTTTTGTGGTTTCGCTTAAGTATTGGATAAATAGGAGACAATATTGATGGTCATGGCAATTTTTACTGCCAACAGCCGAAATGGCGTGTACTTATTTACTCAAACCACAATCTGGCCTTGAGAAAACTCAAATAATTACACTAAAGAGTACTTGTATACAAAAAATTGCATACATGCACTTTTGCTCTCCTGATTTAATAACTTTTCACAAACGCTCAATGTGAGTTGAACCTGCTAGAGAATGACAGTAAGAACTTTGCAGCTACACAACACTGGACATTTCTGCCAACCGCTTGGAGTGGAAAACACAAATCAACCAGTATCTGGCAACTTTCCCCACAGGAGAACGTTTAAAAATCATCGACCAGGACATCGCCGAGGATAAACTACTACAAGAAGTCTTCCTCATCAATCCAAACAACAGTCAAATAATATATCGAGGAAAACACCTGAAACACGAGTCAACGGCAAATGTTGATTTCAATTTCCACGTCACTCAGATGTCAAAGTTCAAAGTACACTTCAGGAATTAAATCTGCAAAACACACCATCCAACGTCATCGTGGATCGTAGATACAACGTTTTCTTAACTGCAATGAGTTCCAGCAATCTGGCAAGCAGTATAATGTTGATCATCGCAGTGACTTTAATCACCACCATGGCTTGGGCACGATTCAAGAAGATGACAACAGACATCACCGGGCCACCCGAGGAGGAAATCCGCCAAATTCAAGAATTTCCAGGGAAATTCTCGAACTAGAGGTGGAGGAGTTACATCCGCAACGGCTGCTTCTGTCATCATAATAGATTCTGCAGACTCAGCAACTCTGCAGATGCTATATTGGACCCTCTCCCACCATTTTCAAGATACTCAGACTCAGACTCGGAGTTGAACCGCACCTTAATCACGACCTCGTTGTCATTTTTATTTTACAAGTTATTCACTTATATGTAAAATAAATTGTAAACTTTAATAATATATAATAAATAAATTTTTTTTTGAAAAACGAGTGTCGTTGAGTCAAATTTATAACTTATATCAATTAATTTTTCTTTTTATCTAAGAGGCTAAGATCCTTTTATCCTCGGTTGAGATGAAAAAGCTAGTGTCACGAGAGGGATTCGAACCCACGACCATCGGCTTCGACCCTGGGTTCGAATCCCACTCGTGACACTAGCTTTTAAAAAGAATAATTGAGATAATTAATATGGTCAATTATGACCGCTAAACATATATGGATGAATAAAAGTATAGTTTAAGCAGCATATATTTTTACATAAAACACTCTTGAAGATGAAAAAAATGTATAAATGTGTGGTGTTTAGTGACCGTTAGTCAATTATTATTCGAGTGACTATCAACAAGGAAAAATTTCAGCTCTGAAGACGATCTCAAGAAAGATCGAAACGTAGCACCATAAAGAAAATGTTTTTCTAAAACCTACGTCACACCAGACCGCATCTCATGATCTCCGAATAATCAAAATGCATAAATGTAGTAATTATATCACATAACTTCCTGCTATCTAAACTCTTACAACATAAGGACGTTATTGAAGTTATGTAATTAGATTACGTTTCAATACGTTTAATAGTAATCAGGTTCTTTTTAGTGAATAGAATAAATAAAAAGAGACCATAGGGAAAATATGCTTTTGTTATTGTTTTGGTTTATATTTAAAGAAATAAGCCTGTAGGAAGCAGGAATCCATCTTTTCCGAAGGAAAAAAAAAAGAATGAAAGACCTTAAAACGAGCGAACTCCACATCGGCACAAATGAATTTTTTAGTAAGAATCGATTGTTAACCATCTATAATCGATGTTGATTATATCGATTAATTTTTATTATTTTACTTTATATTATTTCTTTAATTTCGACTTTTTTAAATAATGTTTTTATTCAAACTCAGTCCAATTAGTTTCTAATTAGTGTAAAAATAGTTTTTAAATTAGTTTAAAACGATAAATTGCTATTTATTAGGTTTATTATTTCATGATGGCTATCGATTTTATTACTCGATTATATATTTTAAAAGCTGACGTTCTGTAAGGTCATATCCCTCTCCAAAAGTCATCTAACTATCACATGCCACTTGTTATCACCTGTCTTAAAATGCATATCAGAACTTTTCGAGGACTTTTCCTCAACAACTTGGCCAAGTGGCGTTTTCTCAAAGGAGAAAAACAAGGGAAAAGATGCGCGGCCCACTTCAATTATCAAGCGGACGACTCAAGACCCGTAGAAGGTGAATATATACGTGTTTTTTTTATTTTTTACATATGTATCCGTGAAATTTTTCGAATTTCTGTCGATTTGTTGTCTTATGAGGGTTTTTTTCTGGATTTTTCCAGGAGAGACGACCAAGCTGACCATGTACCAGGCCATCACAGATGCGATGGACATCTGCATGAAAGAAGATCCAACAGCATGTAAGTACTTTGGAAAAAAAAATTTCATATTACATCTTAATAAAATGTACTGCAGTAAACATGTCAATGAGATTTTTTAATTAAAAATGCTCCTTTTACTACAGTTAATTTTTTGTGCTGCATGATTTTTTATAGGTTTTCATGCATATGTGTTACGTCTTGTTTGTTATTAATTTTACTGGTTAATCAGTCAAAATTGCAGACTAATCTAAACTTAAAAAAATGTTATACACAATTTTTGCAGTCTAAGGTTCAGTGTTGTCTTCAGAATGATCCTTCTTTATAAATAAATCTAGAATAAATCTATGAAATATATGGTAGATTTTAAATTTAGTAATTATTTTTATTCCTCAGTTTAATCGATACTGCAAACAATTTAAAGCAAAATTTCAGAAAAAGAGCTTTTTATGCATAGGTGCAGGTTTGTAACACAAGAAGATTAATTTTTCTATATGTCATAGAAGATTTTTGATGTACAAACTGTTTTTAAAGTTATTCATTTTTTGTATTTATTTATTACAAATCCAGGCTTAGAAGAGTAATATGACAAGACAAAAAGAAGGTAAACACATAAAAAATACAATGATGAACAAAATTAACACACCACCTTAAATTTTAATGTAGTTAGGTTCATTCATATTACCAAAAATAGGTTTGGTTGTAAAAATAAGACATTTAAAAAGAAAACGTTTATTTAAATGTAAAAAAAAGAGTAGACAAAACTTGAAAAAAAAGTCACTTTAATACCAAATATTTCCACCTCTGGCATGAATGATGTCCATTAAGTGCCTTTGCATTTCTTGGAAAATATTTCTGATAAAATCCTGAGGATTTCTTTCCTATTCATCAAGAATAGCCAAAATGTAAAAAAAAAGAGTAAAGAAAAAACTTGAAAAAACCCACTTTAATACCAAATATTTTCATCTCTGGCATGAATGATGTCCATTAAGTGCCTTTGCATTTCTTGGAAAATATTTCTGATAAAATCCTGAGGATTTATTTCCTATTCATCAAGAATAGCCAAAATGTAAAAAAAAGAGTAAAGAAAAAACTTGAAAAAACCCACTTTAATACCAAATATTTTCACCTCTGGCATGAATCATGTCCATTAAATTCCTTTGCATTTCTTGGAAAATATTTCTGATAAAATCCTGAGGATTTCTTTCCTTTCATCAAGAATTTTTAATTTTTCTATGAATTAACTTGTGTTTCCAACTCTCAACTTCTGGATTTCAAGCTGGCACACTAAGCATTCAATTTCAACCTCATTCAGGTAGCCATCCACAATACGAGCTTTATGGGGCTTGGCATTATCTTTGACAAAAGGCTACTACATGTTCTTTGATTATGTCTTGTAAGTACTTTTGTGAAGTTAGAGATCTTCCTCGCATAACAACGAATATAGTGTGGGGTCTGAACAAATGCCTAGGCTGACCCCAGTGTGAAGCTCTGTTTCTCTGAAGGCCAAAGAGCTCTTCTTATTGTAAATGCTTTACATTAAGTCTCCTGGCGACTTCGCATTGGCTGTATCCTTCCTGTAAAAATGTTATGACCCTAACATTGTCATACTCACCCAAATTCCTGACTGGGGATATTGAAAAAGGTTTAAGAAAAAGAATTATGGCAAATGAAACCCTTCTCTTTACCTCACAGAATGTTACTGGTTTTCATGTTGAATTTAAATTAATAGTACGTGTTACACAAATTAAGGCAAAATTTAATCAATTGAGTCTTTTTTAACTCAAATGTCTGGGTTTTTATGAAGGAGTGCAAGTGTATCATGCTTAAGTATTAATTTCTGCATAATTCAATGATTAGATTTACTAATTATTTTTATTCCCCAATTTAATCAATAGGGCTAAAAAACAAATGATACAAAATTTCATAAAAGGATTTTGTTTAAAGGAACATAAGGAATTGTATGCAGAGGTGCAGGTCGTCTAACTTAAGATTAATTTTTCTATGAATTAACTTGTGTTTCAAAGTCAATTTAGTCATTAGTACTGTAGTGATCAAATTAATTCAAATTAACTTCAAAAAGTCTTTTTGTAATCGAAATACAGTTTTTATGCAGAAGTGCAACAATGCAACACAATAAGATTAATTTCTCTGTATCTCACTGAAACTTTTCAATTTATTGTTTTTACTTCTATATTGAATCAATAGTTCTGCAGTAAACAAATTAAGGCTGATTTTAATAGGTTTTGAATTTTTTTTAAAGCACAAATGTCAGGGGATTTATTATACAGAATTGCAGGTGTACTACACAAAAAGATTAATTTCTGCATATTCACAGAAGATCTTAAATTTACTAATTGTTTTATTCATTAAGTTAATCAATAGCACTGAAAACAAATTGATTCAAAATTTAATAAAAGGTTTTTATGTAGAGGTGCAAGTGTGTAAATGTAAGATTTATTTTTGTATATCTCAAAGACTTTAGGATTTTTCAAATTGTTTTTAATGGTCACTTTAATCAACAGTCATGTTGTGGACAATTATAATATAAATTATTGTTAAAAAATCCCCCCTCCGTTGTTTTGCGTGGAGGCTTTAATCAGTTAGGGCCTTAGGAAGGTGTAACTTTAAATTCTCTTTTTTTGAACCACAATTTTAGTTAATGCAGACATATCACATGTATAACATACAAGCAATAGAAAATGAAGATGAATGGAGGTAAGTCCATGTCACTTTTACACTCAGAAGCAAATCTGTTCTCACAACAGTTCCAGTCCCCAAATCCTACTTCGTAAGCTTCAGTTCCACCTAGATTCACACTTAACTTGTTTTACTGAATAGCTATTTTTACCCCTCAATTGCTAGGCTTAAAATTGAAAATGTGCTAATATATTAAATGTTGCTGCAAAGGGCTAGAATCTCAATTTAAGACTTTCCACTAGGCCAATGATTTTTTTTGCGACTTAAAAATAAAACATGGATCGATCACAACATACTGGAAAGACAACAAGATAATTGAATAAATGATTTATTAATACAATTAATTTAGTTAAAATAATTATTCTTAATAATGAAATGAAACAAACCAAATAAAAGAAACAAACGAACGCAAGCAAAATATGGTTAAAATTAATTTCTTCTTAAAACTATCAAGTAAAACTAAACGATATATATAAAAAATTACGTAGCAATTAAGGATAATAAAAAAGTAAAGTTCGCAAGTGAAGTGAAAATAAAACTCAGCTGAATGTTTGTTCAGTTGTTTTCTGGAGCAGATCTGTTGTTGAAGAGCTAAGCTAATCTCTTGAATATTAATGATCCTATTGTCCATTGCAGACTGCTAGTCTCTTTTTAAACAAGATATATCTTTCTAGATAATTCCAAAATTAGCTGTAATTCTTGGAGAAGATTTTATATTATTAAATGCTTATTTAAGAAGATTTTGGATTAGTAATTGTTTTTATTTTCCAATTTAATCAATAAGTAAAATTTAGTAAAATGAGTTTTATTTACCTACAAAACAGCTTGATGTCCCTCATCACCACAACCAACTGATATTGCAACATCTTTCTAAATTGTTCCAGTAATTTTTGGTGAAGATGTCGCATTCGGCGGTGTATTCAGGTGTTCAGTTGGCCTTCAAGAGAAATATGGCAAAGATCGCGTGTTTAACACACCGCTGTGCGAACAAGGGATCGCCGGTTTTGCCATAGGAGTAGCTGCAGTTGGTTCGACGGCTATTGCTGAAATACAGTTTGCAGATTACATTTTCCCCGCATTTGACCAAGTAATAATATTTAACATCTAATTAAATTTTATAACTAAAATAAGTTGTGTTTTAGATCGTTAATGAAGCAGCAAAGTTCAGATATAGGAGCGGTGGTGAATTTTCCTGCGGCAAGTTGACCATTAGGGCACCATGCAGTGCTGTTGGACATGGAGGTCTCTATCACTCACAAAGCCCTGAGGCTTATTTCGCCCACACTCCTGGACTAAAGGTTTGAAATAATTATTTGTTTCAAAATATATATGTTGTGTATAATTTAATTTATTTGTAGGTGGTTATTCCTCGAGGATCGGTAAAAGCAAAAGGCCTTCTCATATCTTGCATCGAAGATGATGACCCTTGCCTGTTTCTAGAACCAAAAGTTCTATATAGAGGAGCTGTAGAAGAAGTACCGGTAGCCAAATATAAATTACCTATTGGAAAAGCTGAAATCGTTATACCTGGTGAGTTGAATTGTAATTTAAAAAGTGCCAATTTTATAAGACACAATGCAGTAATTGCAATTTTATTGCATTGCAGTTACAGTGAGAATTTGCAAATAATATATATTTTTTATTTTTATATATTTGTGATATTTAATATTTTAATGAGATTGTTAGAGCTAGAAGAAATATGAGACATTTAAATTTGAGCTTATATTTTTACAATTTTGTTTGTTTAATTTTAACTTTCGGCCAACAACGTGAAACACCCGTATATGTACTACAACGTCGGGTCATTTTGACCCAACTCTGTTTTTAAGTGCAATGAGTCATATTTTTTTTTTGGGGGGGGGAAATATGAAGAACTTTTTTTTAAAATTTTTATTTTTATTAACCTTGTAGGATACAAAACTGCATTTTTTTTCTCAAAATAAATGGTTTAAAACATATTGTAATCACAATAAAGTACAGTCAAGCAAGGAAAAACTAGAAGATTTTGGGAAATCTTTCTTTGTAAAAATTTAACTTTGAGTTTTTGATATTATCAACAAAACTACAGTCAAACTTCTTCGTAAACTACATATTAAATTCTTATAAAATTAAAATGTAAAAAGTAACTTCAAAAAAATGGAACACAGTATCACAAGGAACAAAAATGACATACATACTCCGAAAAATGGAAAGCAAAGAAGGAAGATAAATCTGTTTTTGGATATCACTGCTCGAAAAATCAATGGTCTAAATAGACGACAAAATATGTCTTGAGACATTCAGGTTCAAATCCATCATAATGCCGCTGAAAAATAAAAGGCCCAGCAAACCTCTTTCTTCAAGACCATCTGTGGGTCCAATATAGCGCTGGTCAGGAATGTATTGAGGTTTTATTTATCAATCTCTTCATTGGTATATTTTACAATGACATCAATCATGGCTCTGAGCAAATCCTTTGGCACCAGGCAAATGGGTAATCATATTCTTTGAAGCTAATCTGACGTTTCTCAATGGTAAAAGATCGGTATCAGTCCAGAGAGTTTTGCCTTCTTTGCCCAACACAAAGTTTCTGCTTTGTTCTCTGGAACCTAAATTTGAAAAATTTTCAGGGCTAAAGTGGTTCTCTAAGAGCACATCGTCTTCAGGAAAAACGTCGACGGTGTCAGATTTATCATTATCGTTTGGCAACAAATCATTTTCATCTTCACTGTAAAGAAAAGTATTCCTCGTTTTCATTATCACTTATATTTCTATTTCACGTCGAATTTCTTCGTCAGTTAGAACATGTGAACTATTTGCCATGGCTGAAACAATCAAAAAAGATTACAAAGAAAAGCATTGAGAAAACTAATTAAATTTGAACTAAAACGAAAAGAACATGTCGTACAACGTGGGGTCATATTGACCCATACCACGATTTTTCTTGTTTTATTCCAATATTACAAGGTCACTTATCTGTGAAAAGGGTTGCAGTGGTGTTCACGTCTACAAGAAGACTAGAAGGAACTACTCAAAGCCTCAAACCCTTCCGAACCCTACATTTTGACACACGCGCATTTTTGAAATGTTTGCGTCATTTTGATACATTGTAAAACAAAGGTTAATATTTTTTTAAAATAATGTACTGTAATTATCTTTATTTGTTTTAAGGTGATCAGGTTACATTAATTGGCTGGGGTACGCAAGTTCATGTATTGTGTGAAGTAGCAATGATGGCTAAAGAGAAACATAATATATCTTGCGAAGTGATTGATTTATATTCAATTGTACCTTGGGACAGGGAAACAGTTTTTAATGTAAGTTTTTTTTTAAAATATTAATTATTTATTAAATTCCAGCTATATTCAGTTAATGATTTTTTAATGTATTTATCTAAAGTCTGCTAAGAAAACTGGAAGGACAATAATTGCACACGAAGCGCCTTACACCGGTGGTTTCGGTGCTGAACTTGCCGCCTCAATTCAGGTATTTCACTATAAGAATTCCTCGACATTCAGTTTTCTCCAACATTGATTACTTTTTGCAGAACGCTTGCTTCCTCTATCTCGAAGCTCCCGTAGGCCGGGTGGCAGGATTTGACACCCCGTTTCCGCACATTTTCGAACCGTTTTACATTCCCGACAAATGGAGATGTCTTCAAGCCGTATTAGACATAGTCAACTACTGAATCGTGCCATAATGAAACAAACGTTTGTGCTAAAAATGTTATAAATTTAAAAAATTATATCAATTGTTCAATAGAATTATTTTTTTAAACATTAAATTTTATTAAAGTTTAATTAAACAATGTTTGTTATTTCTTTTAGAAAAAAAAATTAAAAGCCTTAATCCTCTGAATTGTTTGTTTCCGTGGTATAAGAGTTCAAAGCTCAATGCTTCAAACCCTCATGGACCCTGAAAAACACACTTACTTGCATTTACTCAGGGAGATCACCCAGTGAGAACAAATTCAATTTATGGACAGGTTTGATTTTTAATTTCTCTATTTATATTACACAATATAATGTAATATTATATGCCATATGATTTGATTATTAATGTCATCGACGGTTAGGATAAAAATCATTATTGTTGAAATCAAATGTTGAAATTAAATGAATTTGAATTGATGAATTCATTAAAATAAGAATAAATAATATTGATATGGTTTTAATAAGTGAATAAATCAAATTTATAGTTGACAACTTAGCTAAAAATATTTTACCAAATGCAAATTGAATAAATGTAATAAAAATTAAAATGACAAAAATAAAAAATTGGCCCATTAACCTTAAATCAAACCTTTGAATCTTTCACAGTCCCACTAATTAGTTAATCAAATCAAAGTGCTTCTAATTAATTCAAAATAAATTAGATCAGTGAATCAAAGCAAGAAGTTTGTGGCATGGGCGATCAAAGTAACGGTAGCTTAAGTATTGTAGTATTTACCCAAAGACTGTGGGTTTGAATCCTTCCTGTGACAATTATTATTCATTTGTAAAATTGCGTGTATTAAATTGACTGTACCAGATAACCATTTTTTATTATTTTAATACCATTAATCAACATTTCTATATCAATAGGAGGACTTGGTGTTTACATCACATAACACCAAGAGAATAACTCATCAGTTCATAAAGAAAATGTCTTGAAGAGTTCACTTAAATTATAAAATATTTTCTTTACCATGCCCTTGCAATTCATGCATGCTTATTGAATTTTAGCTTGGTAATAGGGTGGCCCAGGCCGTTCATAAAATTTGCACTGCGTTCGAGGTGAAATAAGTGAGCACACTGCCCAAAAAAAGGATCAAAATTGAAGATGAACCACGGAATAAATTTCTGCCTTGAATAATGATGGGCTTCATTAGAGTCAAACATGTAAGGAACTCAACAGAGTGTTTTTGTAGGCGATGAAACCATTCGCTCTAGCTTACATTGACTTGGAAAGACGTTCTGAGAAAATTGGTTCCTTAAACTGATTCAGATATTAGATATTTATATTTGATATTAGATAATTTAGATAACAGGTATTTAATAAAATTAATATCAACAAATTTGTTTCTTTCTTTAGGCTAGTTGACACATTAGTAGAGCATGTTTACAAGTTTAAAATTAAAAATAAAATTGGTGTCTCTTACATATTTTTCTTGGGTTTTCCATTTTCCATCTACCATTCAAATTAGACCTTGAAACATCCAACAATATGAATATTTTTATGTTTATTGGTTAATTCAATTTTTTAAAAATGGTTTTGCCAGGCAAATCTAAATTTCAGATTTACAAAGGCATTTACAATATGTTTTATAGAATTCTGTAAAACAGTTTTTTTTGACATGGGTAATGTTCAGGCAATTATTTTTATTTTGTATATGGAGTTAATCTGGTTAGAATGTTTTAGGGTTTAGGGTTTTTAGTTGTAGCTAATCCTGATCCTATCTGTTCACAATTTTAATTTTGAGATAGCTAATTGTTCTCATGTTTTTGAAAAATAATAATTGGCTAAAGCATGTTTAAGTTTAAAATTTAAAATAAAATTGCTGTCTTGTGCTTTTTTTATTTGCCAATTCGTCATTTCATTTTTTTTTCAAAATTGTTTATAAGACGGCATTTACTGCATTTTGTGAAGGTCAATTGGTTGTATTATTAATGCTCAGGTAGCTATATATTTTTCTTTTGTAGGTGAAGTTCATCAGAATTTTTAGGGTTAGAGTTTAGTGTATCCACGTACTAGCAATCCTGATCTCATCTATAAACTGTCATATTTTTATACTAAATTGTTCTTATAGTTTCCTTGAAAAATAAAATTTGGCTAAAGCAAGTTTATAATTTATAATATACACTGCCCATCAAAATGAAACCGACTACAAGTTTTTTTTGCACAAAAAAATGGCCAACTTTGGGAATGTATATTTTTTGCGTTTTAAGTCACAGTTAATCTCATAAAAAAATGCCAGGAAATCGTCTTTGGTGCAGTACCTATAGCAATCTATTGGAACTTTTAGTAAGCTTTCAATTGGTCACCTTCCACTTTGCCCGATTTCTGTTTGTTTCTTCAGTTTCAGTTCTGATTGTTTTCGAGTTATTTGCGATTTTTGAGGAAAAAATGTGGTTTTTTACGTGATCATGGAAAACTCTCTCTCTCCAGATTTTCAAGAATGGATAAATTCTGAACCTGTCATGTTTTCCCAAATTTTGTGCTCTATAACATTTGTTCAGAGAACTTTCTCAAAAAATTGAACATGGAAGCGGCAGTTTTTACTTTTTTTTTATTTTTACCTTTTGGGATGCGGAATGTCGCTTCCATGTTCACTTTTTTGCAAAAGTCCTCGGAGCAAAGGTTGTAGAACGTAAAATTTGCGAAAACATGACAGTTCAAAATTTATGCATTCTTGAAAATTGGGAGACAGAGTTATTTTTTTCCATGTTTTTTCCCAAAAAATCGCAAATAACTCGAAAACGGCTGAGAAATCGGGCAAAGTGGAAGGTGACCAATTGAAAGCCTATTAAAAGTTCCTATTGATTGCTATAGGTTCTGCACCAAAGACGATTTCCTGGCTTTTTTTTATTTTCCACGTAAAGAAGCACATTTTTGCCCCAAAACCCCGAATAACCAAAAAACGGTTGAGAAATCGGGCAAAGTCAAAGTTCCTGGCTCCCTCCAGAGCTCAATTTGAAGTTTTCGTAAAAAATGCAAAAATTAAAATGTTCCCGAATTTTGCGTAAAATTTTCTAAAAAATGAGACCTATCACAGGACTTGAAAGGACTGAGAAAATATGCTTTTTCGAAGTTAACCATTTTTTAGTTCAAACACCAGGCAGCGTATTTTATGACTTGCCGTTTTTATATTTTGTCAAATTTGTCAATTTTTCAAAATGAATTTCTCAAACAATTTAAAATTTCAGATTCATAAGGTGGCATATTTTAGTTTTTGTTGCTGGAAAATTTCTCTTTAAAAAGTTAATTTTTCATTTTGTAATTACTTGTTCTCATATTTTTTTTAAAAATAAGACTGATAAAGCATGTTTAAAAGTAAATAAAAAAAAAATTCGTGTGCATTTTGATATAAGGTGGTTGTACAGTATTTTGTTGCACAATTTTTTTTTTAGCAGTAATGATGTGGAATTTATTTTTTAATTTTTATGACTTAGGGATTTTAATAATAGCACCAAATTCCGATCCCATAGGTAATTTTGTTATAGCAAATTGTTCACATGGTTAAGTGTTTAAAATTACTCAATAAAAATATGTAAGTTACAAAACGGTTGACTTATCACCTATTCAGAATTTCACATTTATTTATATTTAGCCGTACTAAACGAAATAATGTTTGAAACTACTTGTAATGATGTCAAGTAATTACAAAAAAAGGCAAAGTGAGGAAACGTTGAGAGCGTAGGTGGTAAAAGCGGTAGCGGGGCCGCAAATGCAGGCCCGCAGCACCGTTTTGCCCACGTCCTTGCAAGGTCGTTTACTTTCACGTCTGCCTTAAGAAACTGGGACATGCTGTCGTTACAGTCAACATTTCAGTTGCCTTTCTAAATATGCTCCATGGTGTTTGCCCTTTCGAAAAAATAACTCAAAGAACCGCCTTTAATCGCATACTAAGATGTGCGCTACGGTTGACGTTCAAGGCGAAAATGGATATAATATGTGCATACATATACGATGACCAAGCTAGAAATGAAATAACCTTCGGGTATAGGATCGTGAAAGATGGTTTCTATTATTTTACGCAAGATCTTGAAGTCCCTAGGCTAGATGTTTATTATTTAAACTCCAAAAGAGACGTGTGCACAAAAAAATTAAATGTTAATTACAATCCTGTCAACGCAGATTAGATTCGTCCCTGTTTTAAAGAAAACATATCGCTAATAATTGTAAATCAATATATTTTCCCCAATTTTAATATTTATGTTCGAAGTTGAACGAATGTTCGAAGATAAACTTGAATGATAAAATTTCTTTATTTGTAATTTGGTCGTTGTGAACAGATTGTTTCGGTCTGTCTAACTTATCTGATCTCTTTTTCTTATTCTATGTACCATTTGATTATAAACCAGCGAGAATAGACAGGCCAAAATGATCGTAACGACCAAATTACAGGTACTCCCGCTGACCGTATGGAGAAAGGTCACAATTTATTACACTTTTTTAAATATATTTCTTATATATTTTCCTGTGATTTGGTTTAAACATCTGATATTTTAAGTAAAAGGTTTATTTACCATTTTCTCTGAAGGTGTGGGCTGCATTTTTAAATTTTTGGAGAAAAAATAAAAGAGTAAGAGAGAGAGAAAAAGAAAGAGAAGAGAGAGAAAGAGAGATTGAGGAGGGGAGGGAGTGTGAGAGAGAGAGAGCGAGAGAGAGAAAAAGAAAGAGAAGAGAGAGAAAGAGAGATTGAGGAGGGGAGGGAGTGTGAGAGAGAGAGCGAGAGAGAGAGAGAGAGAGTGAGAGAGGGAGAGAGAGAGTGGANGAGAGAGAGAGAGAGAGAGAGAGAGAGAGAGAGAGAGAGAGAGAGAGAGAGAGGAAATGCTGTGAAAGAGAGAAAGAACGGAATACAAGCCATTGAGAGAAAGAGAAAGTTGAGTGATAAAGAATGAGGGATAGGATGATGGAGGTAGAAAGAAACAAAAAGCAGGGATTCAGAGAGAGTGTGAGTGGGTGGGAGAACGAGGGAAGCATATAATGAGAAAGAGATAAAATGTGGAAAATAGAATGAAGGAAATAGGAAGAGAAGATAAGAAATAAAATTGTGAGAAATTGAGAGAGCGAGATAGATAGAGAAAGAGATAGAGATAGATAGATAGGAAGATAGATAGATAGAGAAAGAGAAAAAAAGAGAGAGAGAGAGAGAGAGAGAGAGAGTGAGAGAGAGTGTGAGAGCGGATGAAAATTACAGGCTATTAATATACTAGACAATCGTCTTGACCTATTACAATACAAGTCTACCTAATTTAGAGTGTATCTATATTTATTGCAGTT